TTAGAGACACAGCTTCCCTGCTACTCCTCTAATGTAAGTTTAGTTAGAGACACAGCTCCCCTGCTACTCCTCTAATGTAAGTTTAGTTAGAGACACAGCTCCCCTGCTACTCCTCTAATGTAAGTTTAGTTAGAGACACAGCTCCCCTGCTACTCCTCTAATGTAAGTTTATTTAGAGACACAGCTTCCCTGCTACTCCTCTAATGTAAGTTTAGTTAGAGACACAGCTCCCCTGCTACTCCTCTAATGTAAGTTTAGTTAGAGACACAGCTCCCCTGCTACTCCTCTAATGTAAGTTTATTTAGAGACACAGCTCCCCTGCTACTCCTCTAATGTAAGTTTATTTAGAGACACAGCTCCCCTGCTACTCCTCTAATGTAAGTTTAGTTAGAGACACAGCTCCCCTGCTACTCCTCTAATGTAAGTTTATTTAGAGACACAGCTCCCCTGCTACTCCTCTAATGTAAGTTTATTTAGAGACACAGCTCCCCTGCTACTCCTCTAATGTAAGTTTAGTTAGAGACACAGCTCCCCTGCTACTCCTCTAATGTAAGTTTAGTTAGAGACACAGCTCCCCTGCTACTCCTCTAATGTAAGTTTAGTTAGAGACACAGCTCCCCTGCTACTCCTCTAATGTAAGTTTATTTAGAGACACAGCTCCCCTGCTACTCCTCTAATGTAAGTTTATTTAGAGACACAGCTCCCCTGCTACTCCTCTAATGTAAGTTTAGTTAGAGACACAGCTCCCCTGCTACTCCTCTAATGTAAGTTTATTTAGAGACACAGCTCCCCTGCTACTCCTCTAATGTAAGTTTAGTTAGAGACACAGCTCCCCTGCTACTCCTCTAATGTAAGTTTATTTAGAGACACAGCTCCCCTGCTACTCCTCTAATGTAAGTTTAGTTAGAGACACAGCTCCCCTGCTACTCCTCTAATGTAAGTTTAGTTAGAGACACAGCTCCCCTGCCACTCCTCTAATGTAAGTTTAGTTAGAGACACAGCTCCCCTGCCACTCCTCTAATGTAAGTTTATTTAGAGACACAGCTCCCCTGCTACTCCTCTAATGTAAGTTTAGTTAGAGACACAGCTCCCCTGCTACTCCTCTAATGTAAGTTTATTTAGAGACACAGCTCCCCTGCTACTCCTCTAATGTAAGTTTAGTTAGAGACACAGCTCCCCTGCTACTCCTCTAATGTAAGTTTAGTTAGAGACACAGCTCCCCTGCTACTCCTCTAATGTAAGTTTATTTAGAGACACAGCTCCCCTGCTACTCCTCTAATGTAAGTTTATTTAGAGACACAGCTCCCCTGCTACTCCTCTAATGTAAGTTTAGTTAGAGACACAGCTCCCCTGCTACTCCTCTAATGTAAGTTTAGTTAGAGACACAGCTCCCCTGCTACTCCTCTAATGTAAGTTTATTTAGAGACACAGCTCCCCTGCCACTCCTCTAATGTAAGTTTAGTTAGAGACACAGCTCCCCTGCTACTCCTCTAATGTAAGTTTAGATAGAGACACAGCTCCCCTGCTACTCCTCTAATGTAAGTTTAGTTAGAGACACAGCTCCCCTGCTACTCCTCTAATGTAAGTTTATTTAGAGACACAGCTCCCCTGCCACTCCTCTAATGTAAGTTTAGTTAGAGACACAGCTCCCCTGCTACTCCTCTAATGTAAGTTTAGATAGAGACACAGCTCCCCTGCTACTCCTCTAATGTAAGTTTATTTAGAGACACAGCTCCCCTGCTACTCCTCTAATGTAAGTTTAGTTAGAGACACAGCTCCCCTGCTACTCCTCTAATGTAAGTTTATTTAGAGACACAGCTCCCCTGCTACTCCTCTAATGTAAGTTTAGTTAGAGACACAGCTCCCCTGCTACTCCTCTAATGTAAGTTTAGATAGAGACACAGCTCCCCTGCTACTCCTCTAATGTAAGTTTATTTAGAGACACAGCTCCCCTGCTACTCCTCTAATGTAAGTTTATTTAGAGACACAGCTCCCCTGCTACTCCTCTAATGTAAGTTTATTTAGAGACACAGCTCCCCTGCTACTCCTCTAATGTAAGTTTAGTTAGAGACACAGCTCCCCTGCTACTCCTCTAATGTAAGTTTAGTTAGAGACACAGCTCCCCTGCTACTCCTCTAATGTAAGTTTAGTTAGAGACACAGCTCCCCTGCTACTACTCTAATGTAAGTTTATTTAGAGACACAGCTCCCCTGCTACTCCTCTAATGTAAGTTTAGTTAGAGACACAGCTCCCCTGCTACTCCTCTAATGTAAGTTTATTTAGAGACACAGCTCCCCTGCCACTCCTCTAATGTAAGTTTAGTTAGAGACACAGCTCCCCTGCTACTCCTCTAATGTAAGTTTAGTTAGAGACACAGCTCCCCTGCTACTCCTCTAATGTAAGTTTAGTTAGAGACACAGCTCCCCTGCTACTCCTCTAATGTAAGTTTAGTTAGAGACACAGCTCCCTGCTACTCCTCTAATGTAAGTTTAGTTAGAGACACAGCTCCCCTGCTACTCCTCTAATGTAAGTTTATTTAGAGACACAGCTCCCCTGCTACTCCTCTAATGTAAGTTTATTTAGAGACACAGCTCCCCTGCTACTCCTCTAATGTAAGTTTAGTTAGAGACACAGCTCCCCTGCTACTCCTCTAATGTAAGTTTAGTTAGAGACACAGCTCCCCTGCTACTCCTCTAATGTAAGTTTATTTAGAGACACAGCTCCCCTGCTACTCCTCTAATGTAAGTTTATTTAGAGACACAGCTCCCCTGCCACTCCTCTAATGTAAGTTTATTTAGAGACACAGCTCCCCTGCTACTCCTCTAATGTAAGTTTAGTTAGAGACACAGCTCCCCTGCTACTCCTCTATTGTAAGTTTATTTAGAGACACAGCTCCCCTGCTACTCCTCTAATGTAAGTTTATTTAGAGACACAGCTCCCCTGCTACTCCTCTAATGTAAGTTTAGTTAGAGACACAGCTCCCCTGCTACTCCTCTAATGTAAGTTTAGTTAGAGACACAGCTCCCCTGCTACTCCTCTAATGTAAGTTTATTTAGAGACACAGCTCCCCTGCTACTCCTCTAATGTAAGTTTATTTAGAGACACAGCTCCCCTGCTACTCCTCTAATGTAAGTTTATTTAGAGACACAGCTCCCCTGCTACTCCTCTAATGTAAGTTTATTTAGAGACACAGCTCCCCTGCTACTCCTCTAATGTAAGTTTAGTTAGAGACACAGCTCCCCTGCTACTCCTCTAATGTAAGTTTATTTAGAGACACAGCTCCCCTGCTACTCCTCTAATGTAAGTTTATTTAGAGACACAGCTCCCCTGCTACTCCTCTAATGTAAGTTTATTTAGAGACACAGCTCCCCTGCTACTCCTCTAATGTAAGTTTATTTAGAGACACAGCTCCCCTGCTACTCCTCTAATGTAAGTTTATTTAGAGACACAGCTCCCCTGCTACTCCTCTAATGTAAGTTTATTTAGAGACACAGCTCCCCTGCTACTCCTCTAATGTAAGTTTAGTTAGAGACACAGCTCCCCTGCTACTCCTCTAATGTAAGTTTATTTAGAGACACAGCTCCCCTGCTACTCCTCTAATGTAAGTTTAGTTAGAGACACAGCTCCCCTGCCACTCCTCTAATGTAAGTTTAGTTAGAGACACAGCTCCCCTGCTACTCCTCTAATGTAAGTTTATTTAGAGACACAGCTCCCCTGCTACTCCTCTAATGTAAGTTTAGTTAGAGACACAGCTCCCCTGCTACTCCTCTAATGTAAGTTTATTTAGAGACACAGCTCCCCTGCTACTCCTCTAATGTAAGTTTAGTTAGAGACACAGCTCCCCTGCTACTCCTCTAATGTAAGTTTATTTAGAGACACAGCTCCCCTGCTACTCCTCTAATGTAAGTTTAATTAGAGACACAGCTCCCCTGCTACTCCTCTAATGTAAGTTTATTTAGAGACACAGCTCCCCTGCTACTCCTCTAATGTAAGTTTATTTAGAGACACAGCTCCCCTGCTACTCCTCTAATGTAAGTTTAGTTAGAGACACAGCTCCCCTGCTACTCCTCTAATGTAAGTTTATTTAGAGACACAGCTCCCCTGCTACTCCTCTAATGTAAGTTTAGTTAGAGACACAGCTCCCCTGCTACTCCTCTAATGTAAGTTTAGTTAGAGACACAGCTCCCCTGCTACTCCTCTAATGTAAGTTTATTTAGAGACACAGCTCCCCTGCTACTCCTCTAATGTAAGTTTATTTAGAGACACAGCTCCCCTGCTACTCCTCTAATGTAAGTTTATTTAGAGACACAGCTCCCCTGCTACTCCTCTAATGTAAGTTTATTTAGAGACACAGCTCCCCTGCTACTCCTCTAATGTAAGTTTAGTTAGAGACACAGCTCCCCTGCTACTCCTCTAATGTAAGTTTATTTAGAGACACAGCTCCCCTGCTACTCCTCTAATGTAAGTTTATTTAGAGACACAGCTCCCCTGCTACTCCTCTAATGTAAGTTTATTTAGAGACACAGCTCCCCTGCTACTCCTCTAATGTAAGTTTATTTAGAGACACAGCTCCCCTGCTACTCCTCTAATGTAAGTTTAGTTAGAGACACAGCTCCCCTGCTACTCCTCTAATGTAAGTTTATTTAGAGACACAGCTCCCCTGCTACTCCTCTAATGTAAGTTTATTTAGAGACACAGCTCCCCTGCTACTCCTCTAATGTAAGTTTATTTAGAGACACAGCTCCCCTGCTACTCCTCTAATGTAAGTTTATTTAGAGACACAGCTCCCCTGCTACTCCTCTAATGTAAGTTTAGTTAGAGACACAGCTCCCCTGCTACTCCTCTAATGTAAGTTTATTTAGAGACGATTTTCAGCTCTTTTGAAATAGTTGCTGTTGTTTCAGCGTAAATCGAGTCGGTTGTCAATGAGCTGAATTATTTAATGGTATATTTTCAGGAGTAACACTAGGAACACTAGTTATATAATGGTATATTTTCAGGAGTAACACTAACCGATCAACCACAAAACCAACTTCCGCTAAAACACCCCCCGCAAGTAAACAGAACAGTAACACCAGCAGTCCTGTAACACTGTGAGTATTGTAACTATGGCAACTAGTAGTGTAACTATTGTAACTATGGTAACTAGTAGTGTAACTATGGTAACTAGTAGTGTAACTATGGTAACTAGTAGTGTAACTATGGTAACTAGTAGTGTAACTATGGTAACTAGTAGTGTAACTATGGTAACAAGTAGTGTAACTATGGTAACACCCCCCGCAAGTAAACAGAACAGTAACACCAGCAGTCCTGTAACACTGTGAGTATTGTAACTATGGTAACTAGCTGTGTAACTATAGTAACTAGTAGTGTAACTATGGTAACTAGTAGTGTAACTATGGTAACTAGTAGTGTAACTATGGTAACTAGTAGTGTAACTATGGTAACTAGTAGTGTAACTATGGTAACTAGTAGTGTAACTATGGTAACTAGTAGTGTAACTATGGTAACTAGTAGTGTAACTATGGTAACTAGTAGTGTAACTATGGTAACTAGCTGTGTAACTATAGTATTAACTAGTAGTGTAACTATGGTAAAACCCCCCGCAAGTAAACAGAACAGTAACACCAGCAGTCCTGTGACACTGTGAGTTAATAATTTAATTAAAATATGGTCACTACCAGTTACCAGTAACCAGTTACCATACTATATGAAAACTTGACTTTCTGATATTGACGACTGAAATTACTCGACTTACTCACAAATTTCAGGGAAACTGTGACTGAGGACAAAAAAACTGACACACAAACTGACACGCAAACTTCTGAAACAGTACATACCAGTGTAACTATGGAAACAACCGATACTTTTACAGACCAACTCTCCCTCCCAACTGACACTACTCACTCCATTACCAATGAAAACAAGGTCCAACTACCACCTAGAAAATCAGTTAGTTCGGATGAATCTAAGTACTATTCAGTACTGGAGATTGAAGGGACGCCGCCCCGTGATAGTGATGTCATACAATCCTCCTGTAATGACATCGTCACTGCATCGTCACATGAAGCGCAAAATCACCCCAATAGCAATAAATTGTGGCCAGAATCGTCTGGAGGATCGGGCTCGTCCAATAACTCACAAAATAGAAAGGATTTTCACGAAGCTATGGAAAAAACAGTTCAAATCAGGAAGAAAATTGAATCAAAGCGTTCCTGGAAAATTAGTCCACGTGAAGATGATCCCCCGACTACAGCTCCTTATATGGGCATCACGTGTAACAGAACCTCTATGCCATCTCAGAGAGACCCTCCCTCTATACCTGAGAGATCAGCGAGAGACAGGTTGGATTATTCTAGACGACCAGATTTTAGAGATCCTAAGTTTGGAAACCGAGGGGCGGATGATCGTTCACGTGGCAGGATCGGGGACGATCAATTTCATGATTTCAAAAGTGAGTATGGATCTTATAATGACAGACAAAGTAGGGAAAACAGAGAGAACAGACCATCTGATGACTACAAACCTCGACAGTCTGATGACTACAGGTTGAGAACAGAGTATGATGAGAGACCTTACTCCAGCTACTACAACAGAAGACAATCAGATAACTTTAAAAACAGGCGCCCACCACCCCCTCCACCACCTCGTCCCCAGATCCCACCACCACTTCGTCCCCAGATTCCTGAAAGGTATGATAAAGGTAGTTTAAGAAATTCCAGGACCTTTAGCTCTGTGAGGGGTCGTCCATCTCGGCAGGCTGTCCGGTCTCGTGGTCACAGTAGGACAAGGTCGTACGGTGGAGAGGGTTCTAGTGAGCTGGGACCACGTGACTTTAGATATATATCTGAAGGATCGTTTCTCCCATCTACAAGAGATAGATCTGCTCCTCCGCACAAATTTAGAGATCGAAATCAGCCTGATTATTCTTCCACTTTATTCAGGAAATCTTCTACTCTACCCCAAAAATCTTCCTCTCTACCTAGAACATCTTTACATTCTTCAGCTCAACCTCGACCGATTTCCTCACGCAGTCGATCTCAACCTTCGTCTGCCCCGAGAGTTAGGGTATCGTTTGCAAAGGATCACGAGGTCAGGAGTAATTCAGGTTCCAGGAGTGTAGAACATGGCCTACATCAGGTAAACTTGAGCAGTGAAGGGGGACGTTCTAAAACGTTACCAAGACGCATGCCTAGTTTTCAATCAAGCTCCCAAAATTATCCGTTTACTAGACAAGATGCCGATCATGATATCCAGTGTGGTAATCAAAAGGAAGAAAGAGTTGGGTCAAGGAATCCTGATGATCTGAGACCCCTCAATTACGGAGACTATTTAGAAAATTCGTATAGGAGCAGTGGTCGGTTTAAAAGGAAATCAAACTACAGTAGTAGAAGTTTTAAAAATTTCACTTTTTACAACTTGTAATAATTAAAATCTTAAACCATTGCATCACCTGAATTTTAAAATTTCAAACGATCGTCTACATGTTTTTGACTTAATCGCATTGCATGTAACAGTAAAAGTTCAAATTTGTCTTTTTAAATTTTGTATGTTTTCATAATAGACTAGTATTTTCTCATTTAAGTTTTAACTAAGTGAGCTATATTTTGTTCTGATGATATTGGAAATTGTAGATGTTTTACAGGATTGAAAATGTAGATGTTTTTTCTCTTTAAAACAAATCTAGCACAGGTCAACAGAATTTGTACAGAGTAGAGAAAATCTCAGAAATTTAATGGATAAACTCAAGAAAAACTTCAAAAATACACACTACGATTTGGCCGATCAATCAGAATCAGAAAGATCACCCATCACCAGACACATACACAAAACTTTTGACTCGTTTAAATCCATTTTTCACTCGCTGACCCCGGATCTGAGACATACAAACGAACGTACAGACGAACACACTGACCTCAAAACAAACGAACGAAACAGCGATGATTTCCACGTGGTAAAGTGTGAAATTCAGAGCGATTCTAGTTCGGAATATTTGTCAGTTTTATCTGTCGTGCCTTACGATTGGTAAGTCATTAATGTTTCTATACTAACACCGTTAACTTAGTAACGAAATGACATCATTATTACCATAAATCTCAAATGTAAATCAACAATTATCAATAATAACCTGAAAGTAACCCCTTGTTCCCCTGCAGTCGCCCGAAGACAGCCCAAGTACCCAGCCGTCAGACTAAGCCAACCAGCGGCTCACAATCCCAACCTGTTACCCCGGATACCAGCCGGACCCCACGTGCAGTGAGCAGTATGAGTTACAAGATACACAAACAACCTAGTGCTGAGGAGAATAATGCTGACACCGCCATGTTCACCATGCCTAAAATAGGTTGGAGTTTAGCTTGCTTAATTGCTCATTTTCACTCCCAAACTTAGTTGTCATTGGGTTATTCGAATTTGTAAATCACTTAAACCCTTACTTGCTTCTGCTCCATGGTAAATCCTCATGAATTAATGTTTCACTATAATAATTTGAATTAACATATTATGGTAACCCAGGGAGATCAGCCCGACATATTGCGTCACGTGGTTCCCCTAATACTGATCATGTGTACCAAGTAACCTAGTAACCTATTAACCTAGTAACCTAGTAACCTAGTAACCTAGAAACCTAGTAACCTAGTAACCTAGTAACCTAGTAACCTAGTAACCTAGTAACCTAGTAACCTAGTAACCTAGTAACCTAGTAACCTAGTAACCTAGTAACCTAGTAACATAGTAACATAGTAACCTAGTAACATAGTAACCTAGTAACCTAGTAACCTAGTAACCTAGTAACCTAGTAACCTAGTAACCTAGTAACCTAGTGACCTAGTGACCTAGTAACCTAGTTACCTAGTAACCTAGTAACCTAGTAACCTAGTTACCTAGTAACCTAGTCACCTAGTAACCTAGTAACCTAATAACCTAGTAACCTAGTAACCTAGTAACCTAGTAACCTAGTAACCTAGTAACCTAGTAACCTAGTAACCTAGTAACCTAGTAACCCAGTAACCTAGTAACCTAGTAACCTAGTAACCTAGTAACCTAGTAACCTAATATCGTAACCCAGGGAGATCAGCCCGGCATATTGCGTCACGTGGTTCCCCTAAGACTGATCATGTGTACCACGAATACGGCCCTCAGAAGGATAAACGCAGGATACTATCAGGTAATATCATTACTTTATTCTTTTATTTCATAGAGTTTAAATTTCATGGTTTATGGTTCTAATGACATAGATTTTTTATTAATTCGTAGATTTTGTATTTTATAGTTAAATATACTTCTTTAAAATGTTTTTACCTTCGGCTTGGTGCAATTATTGATATTTATCGATGTATTTTTTATTATTTAAACGTTTATCGTTCCTTTAAGCAGCTTGAATGTTAGGCAAATAATACGGCACTTTAATTGGAAGGAAGTAATATTATATATTAATTGATTTCTCTGTAAACACAGCCTCATCAGAAATTATTTAAAAAATATTAATGTCAGAAATATTAGTAATTCAAAGAGTTCTTGTAAGCATAAGTTCTTTAAGCTCTCTTATATTTTCAAAAGATAGAACTTATGTCAATTACCATACCGAAGTTAGTCAAGCGAGCGTAGAAAAAAAAATAAAGGTTTAAAAATAAAAAGCGACCCATGATTTTCTTGCTCAAAATAACGAAAGCTGAATTCTGCAAAATAAATTGAAAACAAGCCCTTCACTGCCATTTGTATAAGATAATTCAAATCGTGATAAAATAAGTTTTTGGACAAATAAGTCTTGTTAATTTAAATGTCTATAGGTACCTTTTATAAGTTATCTATCTTAAGCTCTATAAGACGGGACAGGTGTTCTTGTCGTTTTAAACTGGCGTGTCCAAGCTTAGCGTTTCCACCTGCCGAGGTTTTGTCTGCCGTAATTCCACTTGTCTCTTCTTCTGTTCACCTGTTATAAATAAGTAATATATGTAAGTGGAAACTGGAAAGAGAAACACGGGCCTAAATAAGTGAATAGCTTAAAGCTATATGTAATTTGTGGAATTTACAACAACAAAGGTTCACCTGGTTGAAGCTGTCTTTGACCTAGTAACATAGTAACATGGGGGAGAGCATGATGAGATGATCCACCAGGACGTATCTTTTGGAGCAAGAACTCCCTGAAGCTAGAGAGGGTGAGGCAGTAGATGAAGAAGTTAGACATTACATTGATCATGGACAGGAACACGCTAACTCTATGCAGATGGGAAGGACTTGTAAGATGATGGATATCAAGCACGAAGGAAACAGCGAGTGGCAGAGTGGAGATCAGGAAAACAGCAGCAGTCAGGACAACTGTTGCAACCCCTCGTAGGTTGACGCTACTTCTTCTCGCACGTGCAGCTCTTCTAGCCACATCGAGAGTCAGCAGGGAGGCTATGATGACTATCAGGTTTGGAGCGACGGTAGTCAAGATGGTACCTATGGGTAGCATCTTTTTCCAAATATCACTGCTAAATCGGTATTCACAATCATATGTTCTGTAGTCGAAAAGCACATCTTCACTGCCAAGGAGGTAACACAGAAGAGGGTTTACAAGAGAAGATAACCAGATTACTGCACACACTGTATGAAACCTCCTTCTTGACCAACTGCCTGCTCGAAGAGGGAACTTCAGGGTGAGGTACTTGGAAGTGACTAATGTAGGGATGAGGTACCTACCACATGACCCAACCCAGTAGGAGAATAATGGTTTCACCAGACATAAGGTGTCTCCTAGGACCCAGGAGCCCGCAAAGAGCGATATTGTGTGGGGGAGGATATGTGTTATCGAGATCAACAGGTCGGACACTGCAATGTGCTGTATTATTGTGACTATGACCTTGTGCAGCTTGAAAGCTCCTCGTTGATTTGTTGCGTAAAGGATAACACTATCCCCAATGAGTGATGAAGCAGTGACGAAGGCGGTGTAGCAAGCCAAGGAGTACCTCTCTGCGTCACTATGGATACCAAAAGTGGCATAGTCACTATAATTGTTTGAAGTGATCATGATGCATTTAACTCACACCATGCAAGTGACTCAAAAAGGGAAGCTCAAATGTTGGATCTAATTTTTTTAATCAATAATAATACTCATCACGACATCACTCATTGTACATCCTGTACAACCTGGCAAAGCTCCACTTTGACTTACAAGTCAACAAGCGCCTCTTTCTGAATAATAAGACACGTATCAGTCCACGTCAACAGATCTCCACCAGCAAACTACTCAGAGTAACCATAGTAACTACTCAGAGCACAAATTGAGAAACAGAACCTTGTGTATTAGAACAGTATACAAGAATTTGGTAGGAAGATTTTAGATTTTAGATATTAATATTTTGACCTTTATACGCCTTTGCAGACTTTATATACATACAGGGGTGGCCCATAAGTGACTACCCACACGCAACCTCTTAATAACTCACGTAATTCGTCTCCAAATTGCACCAAAATTTCAGAGATTATAGATATGGGTCAAACTTAGATTTCCTGAAAGTTTCGTAAGCCCCACCCAATTACAGTGGGCGTGGCGTGACACTCCCTCTTTTTCACTATTGTCTTCATAAAATGAGAACGCTTTAAGCTAAGAACTCAAAATTTTTTGCACACATTTGGCTTGATAATTGAAAACCTTTCCCAAAGTTTCAAGTTCATTGGTTAAAATATGGCTAAGTTATGACCATTTCAAAACTCATCGGATACGTGATCCGAGCACTCAGTCAGTGATCTCGTCACTTGGTTAATGGCCTGTTTGGCTCACATGCACCGCTTGATTGGTTGCAGCCTGCTTATGGGCCGGCCTATACAGCTGACTGCACCTAAAACGCTATCACACGAATTTATGGTGGTGTCACCATTTCAGGGCTTGTTAGCCCTGCTAGTCACAGGTTCCTTACAATCAATAAAAAGGAATGAACCATCCATTGAATCATCGAACCGGGCCTACCGAATCACAAAGAAACACAAACTTTTAGACCGTGATTTCCAATCGAGGATAGATTTCGCCAACACATTCCTGTCCAAGCAGAATGTGGATCCCTACTTTGAGGACGAAATCTGGTACAGCGACAAGGCCATATAAACGGATATGTCAACTCCCAGAATGCAATTCACTGGGGCTCTACTAGACCGGATGAAGTGGTGGAGAGAACGGCTTTTCCTGAAAAGTCACGATCTGGTTTTTATCCTAAAAATTTGTGTTTCCCTTTCTAGCAAAGTCATCATCGGTATCCAATCAAAGCCTAATGAACCTCATTAATACACGCTAACGCCTTACTCTTGATCAGATTGGGTGACGAGATCACTAATTGAGTGCAAATAGCACTGACTGAGTGCTCGGATCACATATCCGATGGATTTTAAAATGGTCATAACTCAGCCATATTTTAACCAATGAACTTGAAACTTTTGGAAAAGTTTTCAATTATCAAGCCAAATGTGTGCAAAAAATTTTGAGTTCTTAGCTTAAAGCGTTCTCATTTTATGAAGACAATAGTGAAAAAGAGGGAGTGTCACGCCACGCCCACTGTAATTGGGCGTGGCTTACGAAACTTTCAGGAAATCTAAGTTTGACCCATATCTATAATCTCTGAAATTTTGGTGCAATTTGGAGACGAATTACGTGAGTTATTAAGAGGTTGCGTGTGGGTAGTCACTTTTGGGCCACCCTGTATATATCAATTTAAACCTCTCAACATTTCATAAATGGTCAAGATCACACATTTTCTATGGGTACAATTTCACAGAACTGTTGTTACTGTATGATAGAGGAATTTGTTTCCTTTGAATCAATCAAGCTAGATGAATTGTTGTAAATACTGAGATAAAAATATCAATTTACAGGCTATCGTCAAACATGTTGCAAGGCGTCATATTCAGTGACATAAGCCCTAAAAATTGTAAAAAGTTAGTAAAACCCAAAATTCCTTTAAAAATCTGAACACTCTTAAAACGGTAATAAAGTTAAAATTAAGATGTTAGGAGTAATGGAAGGCCAAAAGGATTTATAGTGTTAATTCCCAAAGGTTTTAAAGTCTTGATTACTGTATTATACAGTTTTTTTTTGTATTTTTGTACCAGCTATGTCAGCGCTAAACCCCATAGTAAATCTTTCTTATTGTGCTTTATGCTAATAATATTAGCTACTTATGCTAATATATTATATTACATAGTACATACTAATTATTAATACTGTGCAGCGCCAGAGAACGCCAATACTGGCTACAACACTATCCCTGCTGATCGGTCCTACAAACACACCAACACTCTTATAGACACTCAGAAGATACTTAGTCATATCTACAAGAACAGCAACAAAAACGGACGAACGTGAGTACATAAACTTAGATCAGCCCTTCAGTCAACATCCCTATCAATCAAGAGATTTGAAAACAAAGATTTGATAACTTATGTTAATTTGAGTGCAGAAAATAGATAGCGTAGATAGAATATCCACAGAACAATAAAGCCCAACCAGTAACCGATCTAGGTATGTGATAAACGGGCGGACAGTGAGTGACGGTGGAGCAGGCACTACGGAGCCTAGCAACACGAATCATCAGCACGTGCAGCGGAAACTGAGCGCGCCGTGTCGCGGAAACGCGGAAAAACCTCGCTATTACATGTCCGGGAAACGGTCTAGTGATCTCAAGATCGATACCAGTACCAGGTATGTTAATAGAATTTTACTAAACTGGTGGATCATCTCCAGTTATCCAGTTAGCCAAGAAATCCTCTTTCTCTCTCTCCATGTCAAAAAATGACCATGTCCTCACTAGCCCATAATAGTCCACTTGTAGTCCATTCTAAGACCTGATTCGTTATTGACAGTGCGGTTACTGATATAAAGTTGATTCTATCTCCAACAACAGCCGTATTGCCAAACAGGTTAGCTTTTGCGTGAATAATATTCGTCTATTATGAAACCGAATCTAGATTATCTACATATCTTTGGCCGGCGAATTTATCTCTAAAATATTCAAGAACCCGTTTCAGTGAACAATCAGCCAAGTCGAACAAAACGCCCAGTCCCAAATCAGCACTGACCCGCTTGGTTGAGGAGAAGTACATAGACCATAAACAGAGACACGCTTGGAGCTTCAAGTCTGATCGGAAGAAATCAGAGGACACCGTCAGGTAGTGTATAATGGAGCAAGACTGACTGGACACTTACAGAGTGTTAGTTTACTGACCGGACACTTACAGAGTGCTAGTTTACTGACCGGACACTTACAGAGTGCTAGTTTACTGACCGGACACTTACAGAGTGTTAGTTTACTGACCGGACACTTACAGAGTGTTAGTTTACTGACCGGACATTGACAGAGTGCTAGTTTACTGACCGGACACTTACAGAGTGTTAGTTTACTGACCGGACACTTACAGAGTGTTAGTTTACTGACCGGACACTTACAGAGTGTTAGTTTACTGACCGGACACTTACAGAGTGCTAGTTTACTGACCGGACACTTACAGAGTGCTAGTTTACTGACCGGACACTTACAGAGTGTTAGTTTACTGACCGGACACTTACAGAGTGTTAGTTTACTGACCGGACACTTACAGAGTGTTAGTTTACTGACCGGACACTTACAGAGTGCTAGTTTACTGACCGGACACTTACAGAGTGTTAGTTAACTGACCGGTCACTTACAGAGTGTTAGTTTACTGACCGGTCACTTACAGAGTGTTAGTTTACTGACAAACAGGAAATACTATGACAAACTTTAAGTTGTGGGGATTGAGTTGTGGGGATTGACAGACCGAAATGGAATACATGTCTGGACATTTTCTGACCGACTTGTGACTATAATAACATTGAAATTGATATCAAATTATCATTAAATGAAACTATTAAATTATCATTTTGAAATTTATATAAGGTCAATATTAAATTATTAAATCAGCAATCAGCATTTGATTGGTATAGCATAAAAAGTTGCAATGAATCAAAATCAGTTTAAAATTATTATTTTATTAAACCACCATTGAAGTAACATTCAATTACCATCAAATTAACATTGAGTTTACATTAGCATTGAATCAATATTAGATTAGATTGTTATACATTTTATAATAGATTATATATTTTTTAATGATGTATTTTTTTGGATATAATAACAAAGAAATCAAAGATACCAATTTTTAGAAACATTCTGGCTCATCACATGGAATGTTTTTTATTAATAGGAAAGGAGAGATTATGAGCGTCAATTCAAGGAGATTTATTAGAAACTTTCAATGAATTTCTGTCCGTTCGGATTGTCAATTCCTCTATTTTTCTGTTTAGGGTCCACCTCTATGTTTCAGTTTTAATAGACTTCGGAAAATTTAACAACAACTTTAATCCAAAAACAGCTCTAACTATTATTGGATTTCTCATTGGGAGTTCTACTTCTTATATATTTAAGTTATTTATATCTTGCACAATCTCTAAGCTGACCATGCTGTCTTAACAGTTGGGCGAGGAGTAGAAACCGTCAGAACCGGAACGAGAAGAACAATCCGGAATTGCCCAACATCTCCCAGAAAGCCTGCGCTTCTCAAGTAAGCAAGGTGAGCTATTTCTTGTGTGTTTTTGCTTCTCAAGTAAGCAAGGTGAGCTATTTCTTGTGTGTTTTTGCTTCTCAAGTAAGCAAGGTGAGCTATTTCTTGTGTGTTTTTGCTTCTCAAGTAAGCAAGGTGAGCTATTTCTTGTGTGTTTTTGCTTCTCAATTAAGCAAGGTGAGCTATTTCTTGTGTGTTTTTGCTTCTCAAGTAGGCAAGGTGAGCTATTTCTTGTGTGTTTTTGCTTCTCAAGTAAGCAAGGTGAGCTATTTCTTGTGTGTTTTTGCTTCTCAAGTAAGCAAGGTGAGCTATTTCTTGTGTGTTTTTGCTTCTCAAGTAGGCAAGGTGAGCTATTTCTTGTGTGTTTTTGCTTCTCAAGTAAGCAAGGTGAGCTATTTCTTGTGTGTTTTTGCTTCTCAAGTAAGCAAGGTGAGCAATTTCTTGTGTGTTTTTGCTTCTCAAGTAAGCAAGGTGAGCTATTTCTTGTGTGTTTTTGCTTCTCAAGTAGGCAAGGTGAGCTATTTCTTGTGTGTTTTTGCTTCTCAATTAAGCAAGGTGAGCTATTTCTTGTGTGTTTTTGCTTCTCAAGTAAGCAAGGTGAGCTATTTCTTGTGTGTTTTTGCTTCTCAATTAAGCAAGGTGAGCTATTTCTTGTGTGTTTTTGCTTCTCAAGTAAGCAAGGTGAGCTATTTCTTGTGTGTTTTTGCTTCTCAAGTAAGCAAGGTGAGCTATTTCTTGTGTGTTTTTGCTTCTCAAGTAGGCAAGGTGAGCTATTTCTTGTGTGTTTTTGCTTCTCAAGTAAGCAAGGTGAGCTATTTCTTGTGTGTTTTTGCTTCTCAAGTAAGCAAGGTGAGCTATTTCTTGTGTGTTTTTGCTTCTCAAGTAGGCAAGGTGAGCTATTTCTTGTGTGTTTTTGCTTCTCAAGTAAGCAAGGTGAGCTATTTCTTGTGTGTTTTTGCTTCTCAAGTAAGCAAGGTGAGCTATTTCTTGTGTGTTTTTGCTTCTCAAGTAAGCAAGGTGAGCTATTTCTTGTGTGTTTTTGCTTCTCAAGTAGGCAAGGTGAGCTATTTCTTGTGTGTTTTTGCTTCTCAATTAAGCAAGGTGAGCTATTTCTTGTGTGTTTTTGCTTCTCAAGTAAGCAAGGTGAGCTATTTCTTGTGTGTTTTTGCTTCTCAAGTAGGCAAGGTGAGCTATTTCTTGTGTGTTTTTGCTTCTCAAGTAAGCAAGGTGAGCTATTTCTTGTGTGTTTTTGCTTCTCAAGTAAGCAAGGTGAGCTATTTCTTGTGTGTTTTTGCTTCTCAAGTAAGCAAGGTGAGCTATTTTTTGTGTGTTTTTGCTTCTCAAGTAGGCAAGGTGAGCTATTTCTTGTGTGTTTTTGCTTCTCAATTAAGCAAGGTGAGCTATTTCTTGTGTGTTTTTGCTTCTCAAGTAAGCAAGGTGAGCTATTTCTTGTGTGTTTTTGCTTCTCAAGTAGGCAAGGTGAGCTATTTCTTGTGTGTTTTTGCTTCTCAATTAAGCAAGGTGAGCTATTTCTTGTGTGTTTTTGCTTCTCAAGTAAGCAAGGTGAGCTATTTCTTGTGTGTTTTTGCTTCTCAAGTAAGCAAGGTGAGCTATTTCTTGTGTGTTTTTGCTTCTCAAGTAAGCAAGGTGAGCTATTTCTTGTGTGTTTTTGCTTCTCAAGTAAGCAAGGTGAGCTATTTCTTGTGTGTTTTTGCTTCTCAAGTAAGCAAGGTGAGCTATTTCTTGTGTGTTTTTGCTTCTCAAGTAAGCAAGGTGAGCTATTTCTTGTGTGTTTTTGCTTCTCAAGTATGCAAGGTGAGCTATTTCTTGTGTGTTTTTGCTTCTCAAGTAAGCAAGGTGAGCTATTTCTTGTGTGTTTTTGCTTCTCAAGTAAGCAAGGTGGGCTATTTCTTGTGTGTTTTTGCTTCTCAAGTAAGCAAGGTGAGCTATTTCTTGTGTGTTTTTGCTTCTCAAGTATGCAAGGTGAGCTATTTCTTGTGTGTTTTTGCTTCTCAAGTAAGCAAGGTGGGCTATTTCTTGTGTGTTTTTGCTTCTCAAGTAAGCAAGGTGAGCTATTTCTTGTGTGTTTTTGCTTCTCAAGTATGCAAGGTGAGCTATTTCTTGTGTGTTTTTGCTTCTCAAGTAAGCAAGGTGGGCTATTTCTTGTGTGTTTTTGCTTCTCAAGTAAGCAAGGTGAGCTATTTCTTGTGTGTTTTTGCTTCTCAAGTAAGCAAGGTGAGCTATTTCTTGTGTGTTTTTGCTTCTCAAGTAAGCAAGGTGAGCTATTTCTTGTGTGTTTTTGCTTCTCAAGTAAGCAAGGTGAGCTATTTCTTGTGTGTTTTTGCTTCTCAAGTAAGCAAGGTGAGCTATTTCTTGTGTGTTTTTGCTTCTCAAGTAAGCAAGGTGAGCTATTTCTTGTGTGTTTTTGCTTCTCAAGTAAGCAAGGTGAGCTATTTCTTGTGTGTTTTTGCTTCTCAAGTATGCAAGGTGAGCTATTTCTTGTGTGTTTTTGCTTCTCAAGTAAGCAAGGTGAGCTATTTCTTGTGTGTTTTTGCTTCTCAAGTAAGCAAGGTGAGCTATTTCTTGTGTGTTTTTGCTTCTCAAGTAAGCAAGGTGAGCTATTTCTTGTGTGTTTTTGCTTCTCAAGTAAGCAAGGTGAGCTATTTCTTGTGTGTTTTTGCTTCTCAAGTATGCAAGGTGAGCTATTTCTTGTGTGTTTTTGCTTCTCAAGTAAGCAAGGTGAGCTATTTCTTGTGTGTTTTTGCTTCTCAAGTAAGCAAGGTGAGCTATTTCTTGTGTGTTTTTGCTTCTCAAGTAAGCAAGGTGAGCTATTTCTTGTGTGTTTTTGCTTCTCAAGTAAGCAAGGTGAGCTATTTCTTGTGTGTTTTTGCTTCTCAAGTAAGCAAGGTGAGCTATTTCTTGTGTGTTTTTGCTTCTCAAGTAAGCAAGGTGAGCTATTTCTTGTGTGTTTTTGCTTCTCAAGTAAGCAAGGTGAGCTATTTCTTGTGTGTTTTTGCTTCTCAAGTAAGCAAGGTGAGCTATTTCTTGTGTGTTTTTGCTTCTCAAGTAAGCAAGGTGAGCTATTTCTTGTGTGTTTTTGTCCTACCCAGCAACTTGTCGTTACATCCCTCGTTGAGAAGGGATTTTCTTTGACAGGGTGCTGTGGATAGAAGTCAGTCTCAGGTGGCCGACTTCAAAATCAAATTTCTTGTGTGTTAATGATGAGTTGCCGAAAGGGTTTTCAGTTTAAGTTAGTCTCTGAGATCACTGGGAATATTTTCTTCTGGCCCCTTTTTATTTTTTATGAGTATTTTTTATTTCACAGAGGCCTAGTTAAAACAGTTAAGTTGCTCTGTTCATTTTATCAAGGCGAGTTCTGAGGACTAACGTACCTGTGAAATCCAAACAGAGCTCTATTTTTACCATGTTTGAACTCGCCTGTATTATTCTATATCAAGTTAAGTTGCTAGTATCTCTCTGGTCTACAGTAGACCTATACAACATGTTCTTATAGATGCCTGGGAACAATGTCTAGTAGTGTAACCATGGTAACTAGTAGTGTAACTATGGTAACTAGCAGTGTAACCATGGTAACACAAGTAGTCCAGCTGATAAAGCCTGGGAACAATGTCTAATAGCAGTGTAATCAGTACAGAAGTAGTCCAGCTGAGCGGTGTTGTTTAATTTCCACCATGTCTGACACACATTGCATGATCGCTACTTCGCAACTATATCAGGCATATTCTCGAGTCTTTGATTAATTGAGTACATGATTTCTTGAGTTTTTAATTAATTGAGTACATTATTTCAGCAGCTGCACTTACTCCGGCAGCGGTTACAACAAGCACGCGAGGAGTACAACGTCAAGTGACGTCATCACAACAACCTGTGACGTCATCACATCATCACGTGACGTCATCGGCCCTTCAGTTGACGAGCTCGTGACGTCACACGAGCTACTAATTAGAGCTACTAATTAGACACTAATACCACTTCTTACGCTGATTTTTAGGAGGAGGGATCATCACTTCATAATATCGTTTTGTTTGGAGTTCAGTTCAATAGTTTATTGAACAGATAAATTGTGCAGCTTACTAAGCTTTGTTCTACTGTTTTGAGTGTGACAAGATAACAAGATAACAAGATACACATAAGTGTGTGGAGCTCAAGTTTGAGTGATATAAAGTTTTGGAATGCATCTCACTTTCTGGATGAGCGACGTCCAGCGCTCCCCTGAAAGTGTTCGTATTGGTGCTGATGAAGTGTGATCATGTGATCACTGTCGATCAAGTTATCTTGCTCCTTATTTGTGATAAAACTGAAGATATGAGGAATACCAGTGAGGATAGAACCGTTCAGTGTTATTTAACGTTTTGATTGTTACATTATTATAATGTTATATTTGTACATTTGTATTACTGGTATGTTTTTACATGTCGACGAAAAGTTGTTATCGGGGTATCTAGTTAAATTGATAGAGAAAGCGAGAAAAGTTTCCCCTTCAATTAATTAATTGCTAAAATATACAAGTCACAGTTTGAATAGAGACCGGCAAAATATACACCCTTATTTATTGATATGAGACCATAAGAGCATAAGGATTAATCAAACTACTTTATGATTCCATTTCCTGTACTCTTAGTGCCATTATAATATGCAATATTCGAATAATAACATTATTTATAAACCGAATTGTGTGATGATGATTACTCCAAATTTCTTATACTTACAAAGGAAACTACCCATGTTAGTAAAAAGTGCAATTATGAAAATAGAAAGCTAAAACAGTGGTCCTTCCAGAAGTTAGCCCGGCAAAAATGCCAAAGTACTAATCGATCGCAGGTCTCTATTTTTAATGTCAGAGGTATAATTAGTTAATTAATTAATTGATTGATGGAATGGTTGGAGTATAGAATTAGAAAGAATTTCAGAGGCTCTGATTTGAATCTAGAGAGAATTAATTTCAGAAACTAGAATTACCTTAATTAATTATGTTAATTATTGAATTGGTGATGCATTATTTTGAGTTGTAGTAGATTAATGAAAACACACGTGACTATATAGGATTTTATTTATTTATGTTTCAGTATAAAACTGTCGTGTAAACTTGTAAATATGTTAATTAAAAGATGCATTAATTGTAAAACTTCCTAACATAGTCTCGAAAAGTATTAGTTTTGTCTGTTTTCCCTCTGGATAAGCCGTTACAAAGACTGAACTGTAAAAATCACGTTTCAATAAATTTTTAACACATACAGATTCTGAATTCCTCCTTAATTTAATTAGGTGAAAAAGGGAGCCGATAAATGAGAAGCATACACTTTCATAAACCATTTGTTAGCCAAAATTTGGGTATTTGTTTTCATTCGTCACCTCATTCTTAGTTTGAATACCCACTCTGCCGAGTAGAAAGGAATTTCCGTGGTGGTTAAGAACAACGTGGTTCAATAACCCCCCTAGAACAAGACCTCCCTGGTAAGATGATCTGAAAATTGAAATTCGACACGTGCAGATATCAATAAAATTGTGAAATATTATCAACTCAGACTGTATTTTCATTCACCTGTCGTTTTAGCGCTGCACTTTTTTATCTCCAAGTCACTTTATGACATCCCAAAGCTATCACAAATTTAGGAGTCTACCCCGTCATATTATGTTTGTAAGAATATTGAGAAACTCTATTTTACCAGGACCGGAAGCTACTATCATATAACCGCCTATCATTGGATAATGAAGTTTTTAGATCCTTACAATCTCATAAATGGTATATTTTGTTATGAAAGGTGCTGTGTCAGTACCTCGCTTATCCAGATTCTAGTGTTTTAAGAGAGTCTTGCTTATCCGGATATTGGAGAATCCAGACGTTTCTGTTACAGTTGGTATCACACTTTACTGACCACGTGTATTATATGTTTCATTGTGCAATACTTGTTAAAAGCTTTTAACAACTAAAATATTATAAGCGTTTTATTGTTTAACTAAAATCCTTCAATTGTTGGAATGAATTTTGCGGAGAAATCAATGCCAATACTCCAATTCGAAATTATGACAACCTCCTACTAGAGGTTGTTAATTTGAATGTTGAATATTTATCCAATCCCTATTAATACCTTACTTATGCTATTAATACCTTACTTATGCTATTATGTGCCTCGCCGGGCTAAAGCAGTGGATGACCTTGCTGTACGGCAAGTTAAACAAGGATCTGAAACTACTAGGTTCCGTACAGACTCAACTCTGCACCCGTGTCAATATGTTCATTATATGCAAGCATCTTGATTTATTAATACCTTACTTATGCTATCAATACCTTACTTATGCTATTAATACCTTACTTATGCTATTAATACCTTACTTATGCTATTAATACCTTACTTATGCTATTAATACCTTACTTATGCTATTAATACCTTACTTATGCTATTAATACCTTGCTGGTATACTAGCTCATAGCTTCTACCCGTGATTTGAGGATAACTCAGCTAACCTATATTGTAAAGTTAGATGACGAACATGTCAGCGGATCATCCTCTAACCGGGGCTGATCAGGGTCCCAACGACCCTACCCACGTGCTGATAACCTGATCACGTGCTGATAACATGATCACGTGCTGATAACCTGCCCACGTGCTGATAACCTGATCACGTGCTGATAACCTACCCACGTGCTGATAACATGATCACGTGCTGATAACCTGCCCACGTGCTGATAACCTGATCACGTGCTGATAACCTACCCACGTGCTGATAACCTGATCACGTGCTGATAACCTGCCCACGTGCTGATCACCTGATCACGTGCTGATAACCTGCCCACGTGCTGATCACCTGATCACGTGCTGATAACCTGATCACGTGCTGATAACCTGCCCACGTGCTGATCACCTGCCCACGTGCTGATAACCTGATCACGTGCTGATCACCTGATCACGTGCTGATCACCTGCCCATTCACAGTGAGTGAGTTTAATATTTCCTTATCTGAATAAAAAATGAATTTGGTTGTACAACCCCAGAATCTTGTAAGAAGTTGATAAGAAAATATAAAAGAGGTCCAAACCCTCACTCGGAAACTGCATCCCCTCACTCCATTTGAAGAAACTGACGAGCCTATATAATATTATATCGTATGGCCTATGGAATTAGTGAACTGGGAACGTGAGAATAAAGTGATGCGATTTAAATTATTGAACAGAAAATAAAAATTGATCTGATTTGGAGACGATAATCGATTTGGCACCACATTTTCTTGTTTTCTACTACCATTGCAATAACATTAACTTTTCTCCATTGATGAAAGAAATTAGGATGAATTCAATGAATCATTGCGGACGCAATTTTGGCAGACTGCTTAAAAGTTAAGGGGCCGGTCAACTCTAAAAGTTTTTTATGCGACAAAAATTTGTCCAAGTCAAGTACCGAAATAAAGTCTTACTCGTCAACAGACCACAAAATTGTGGTTATCAAGAATGTTATATCGAGATGATAAGAGACGCGAGTCAAGTAAAAAGCATAACTATGAAACTCTACCGAAGTGTTAAAATATTTGGGTACATTGTGATTAATCTGAACCCCTCCCTCCCTTGTAAATTTTGTAAATATTAATTTCCTACCCCAGGGAGGCGTATTTCCGGGTATCCTAGTACCAATTGCCCCATATCTTCTCCCAAGCTGAGAGGAGTAAAGAAGAGGAGTTGCAGATTGTAAAGAAGAAGGAGGAGCCAAGAGATGGAGCTAGACAGAGACAGACATGGTCCGCTTTGAGGTGAATATTTTAAACAGGACTCACAAACACTACTTATTTTCACAATCTCTTTAGTTTAAACTGTGAGATTTACCGAAGGCAGGGTCGCCGGGAGGGAGCAGTGTGAGTTGTCTGATGTCGGGATCTTGTCCCTACCCTGCTGTCTAGGGTAGCCGTCTATCGGGCTCATTCTCTCAGCACCGGCTTATACTTGAGCTGTGAATTTGGTTGGGATGGTGGTTTTGTGCAGTGGTTTTTGGGGTACGAGCTGTTTTCTCCTGATTGCCGGGTATTATTTTGTATATATTGGAGTATGTGTGGCCTGTGAACCGTTAATTGCCATAACAGTGCCATCTTTCTTCCAGTTTCTACCGTCTGAACCCCAGACTGAAGATATTTCTTCATCTTGGTGTGACATTTTCTAAATTCATTGCCTGTTATGTTTTAATGTTCTAATTATAAAACCCCCGCATTTAGATCTATTTCAATCCTCTTTAATTCCGACCTTTCAAGTCTGTAACTGCTTCCTTCGGCATTCTGACTGATTGTCGGTCTCTCTCAGGTGACTTGGGTCACCTGTAGGTACTCTCATAATCACCATATAAAGCCCTCATAAAACCATCGCCGTGTCACCGGACTCCTTAACTTCAGTTATTTCTCCCTTTATTTGTCTCCATACGTCTTGATGATTTAGACTATCTGATGATTGAGAAATCTGACCGTACCATCCCTCCTTCTTCCCACGTGACAAGGCACGTGGGTAATGGGTAACTTGGTCACGTGATGAGGCACGTGGGTATCAGGTTTTCTGACTGGTTCGGCTTGCTTGGTTAAAATTTCATATTTCAGTCATAATTGCAGTGGTTTGTGCTTAGTTTTTATTGAATCTGTCTGTGCTCGTGTTACGAAATTCTATTATCTGAAATGGCTGACACCCTGATGCTGTTAGCTTGTGATCTTTGACGCGTGCCACATCGAGAAATAGGATTCCGTCTGACTTCATAGATTTACTGAAACTCACAGTCGTCGCGTCGGTCCAGCCTAGTAACACTAACACAATTAAACGGACAATGGAGCACAGCCACCGTTTTAGAAGTTATGAATTCCACAATTGTTTTGACGGAATTTGCTGATATAATGTGCCCTTTTCCAAGGACATTGACTTGTTCTTCAACCTCTTGCTTTTTAAAATGCTGTTTTGTCTGTGAGTATGTGTTTTTTATTTGGTAATGCCTACAACGACGTCAGAAATGATACACGATGAATAGTTACAGTTATTTCAATACTTTGCATTTCACTATTATTTCTGGGCAGGTCTAATTATTTTGAAGTACTATATTAGCTGTTACATTCACTCGGAACTAATCTTCTTCAGATCACGAGGAATGTTAGCGCAACTTTCTTTTATTTCCCTGATTCAGAGTATACTAAGGATTTAAAATCCGTCCGATTTAATAAGAGCTCACTGAAGGTGGGTCGAGGTGAAATAACGGCGTGGTTTATGAAGGAGTAACGATTGTGAAATAGACCACCAGTATGAGCAGTGTTTTACCGAGTAGACTGCCCAGTCTATTTTAAACCTCTGAATGTACCATTTACAATTATTCACATTTGGACGTCTGTAACTGATGAATTAACGTTATTGTCGGGTCGTCTTCTCTGAGTCCCATTGTTACCATCTCCTCCACACTCCTCGTTAGATAAGAGCAGTTGTTTTTGCTTACACCGTACTTGCTAACTCAGATAAGATAATACACCCCAGACTCTTGCTGTCTGTATCTGGGAGTCAGGGCGAGATAATCTTTACTAAACCACACCACGTGACCCTCACATGACTATAATTTGCCCGTGAAGCTGCACACCCACCTGACTGAGAGTCTACAGTCTGGTCAGATCCAGACCCGCTCTCACATTGAGAGGACGCTTTTAGGATTTGACGTGTCTCGAGCTGAGCAGGACTGGTTTTCAAGTGAGCTGAGAATCCTGTTGTGCAGATTCGGCATATTTGGAGATTACTAATTCTGCACTACCGGACTTATCAGTGCTTTATTTACTAGCCTTACTAGTTCCGTGCGTGCAATTCCAATATTTCCCATCCCCCTCGTGATAGACATAGTTTGTTACATACATACACAACACATAGTTTGTAATATTGTTTGATGAGTGTTTTTTAGGTGAATTAGTGTTAATTTTGTATTTCTTGGTTCAGCCGCCACAATGTATTATATTATCATTATTATCCAATATTACGTAGTGTTGTGTAATTTTGTGAATTTAAACAGCCCAGCATTGCAATATAATAGTAGTAGTAGTAGTTGCTATAGTTACTATATATTGCAATATAATAACCGGTAATAATTTGACACTTGATTTGGACGACAGATATCCCCGCTGTTGCTTCACTTTAACTAATATCTACTATATAGTAATATAACTAGTATCTAGCTGCCTTATTCGGTAACTATCTAGCTGCCTTTTCAAATCCGGTTCTTGCCCTCTCCAACATGATGATCATTAGAATTATTGAGTCAGTCATTTTAGCATGTTTCTCGTGAGGTTGTATATCTTTTAAGAGACTCGATCAATCAAATCTAATGGTATTTCCTTGTGTGCACGTAAGCAATATGTTCGGATGACCGGTAGCATGGCTACAGAAGTAAGCAATATGTTCGGATGACCGGTAGCTATGGTAGCTATGGTAACTATGGTAACTATGGTAACTATGGTAACTATGGTAGCTATGGTAGCTATGGTAACTATGGTAGCTATGGTAACTATGGTAGCTATGGTAGCTATGGTAACTATGGTAACTATGGTAACTATGGTAGCATGGCTACAGAAGTAAGCAATATGTTCGGATGACCGGTAGCTATGGTAACTATGGTAACTATGGTAACTATGGTAACTATGGTAGCATGGCTACAGAAGTAAGCAATATGTTCGGATGACCGGTAACTATGGTAACTATGGTAGCTATGGTAACTATGGTAACTATGGTAACTATGGTAACTATGGTAACTATGGTAACTATGGTAACTATGGTAACTATGGTAACTATGGTAGCATGGCTACAGAAGTAAGCAATATGTTCGGATGACCGGTAGCTATGGTAACTATGGTAACTATGGTAACTATGGTAACTATGGTAACTACGGTAACTATGGTAACTATGGTAACTACGGTAACTATGGTAACTATGGTAACTATGGTAACTATGGTAACTATGGTAACTATGGTAACTACGGTAACTATGGTAACTATGGTAACTATGGTAACTATGGTAACTATGGTAACTATGGTAACTATGGTAACTATGGTAACTATGGTAACTATGGTAACTATGGTAACTATGGTAGCATGGCTACAGAAGTAAGCAATATGTTCGGATGACCGGTAGCTATGGTAACTATGGTAACTATGGTAACTATGGTAACTATGGTAACTATGGTAACTATGGTAACTATGGTAACTATGGTAACTATGGTAACTATGGTAACTATGGTAACTATGGTAACTATGGTAACTATGGTAACTATGGTAACTATGGTAACTATGGTAGCATGGCTACAGAAGTAAGCAATATGTTCGGATGACCGGTAGCTATGGTAACTATGGTAACTATGGTAACTATGGTAGCATGGCTACAGAAGTAAGCAATATGTTCGGATGACCGGTAGCTATGGTAACTATGGTAACTATGGTAACTATGGTAGCATGGCTACAGAAGTAAGCAATATGTTCGGATGACCGGTAGCTATGGTAACTATGGTAACTATGGTAACTATGGTAGCATGGCTACAGAAGTAAGCAATATGTTCGGATGACCGGTAGCTATGGTAACTATGGTAACTATGGTAACTATGGTAGCATGGCTACAGAAGTAAGCAATATGTTCGGATGACCGGTAGCTATGGTAACTATGGTAACTATGGTAACTATGGTAGCATGGCTACAGAAGTAAGCAATATGTTCGGATGACCGGTAGCTATGGTAACTATGGTAACTATGGTAACTATGGTAGCATGGCTACAGAAGTAAGCAATATGTTCGGATGACCGGTAGCTATGGTAACTATGGTAACTATGGTAACTATGGTAGCATGGCTACAGAAGTATCGAGTTAGGAGGGTTTGGTCAGTTCGTTAAATTTACTAGAATATGTTTTAGATCTTCCCATTATCCTTGTCATGACTGTACACGTCATTAACTTCTCTACAATTAAAATCGAATTAAATCTATTGTATCATGCCCTTTAAAATGCTAAATTCTCGTAGCGTGTTATCTTGGCTGCCTAAAAAGCTTTCCACTTGTAACTATAATTTTCACAAGAATGCGAAAACGTAATGATGCCCTCTGGAAACTCACAAGAAAGGCCTCTAGAAACTCCCAAGAAAGGCCTCTAGAAACTCTCAAGAAAGCCCCCTAGAAACTCTTAAAAATTCTCTCTAAAAAACGCAAAAAAATGTTGTCTTTGACTGTACAGTCTAGAATTGTGAGTGCCCAAAAAAATCCCCAAAATGTTCACTCTTAATATTCAAGAATTAGCATTAAATTCACAGTGTAGGAAAATTAATGTGACTTTAAAATATCAATTATTCGTCTTTCAGTCGACTTCACGCTTAATCTATTAGTATTAAGCTACAGTACTTTGCAGTATGGTAGATTTATGTTGTTTGATTTGGTTTCCTCCCTCAAGTTTTAAATATTAACGAAGATAGGGCACAGTAATAAGGTTTTCTAGTAGACACTCCTTGAAAGGACCGTTAGCGGAAAATTCATTAATTTAATTGACAATACTCGTGCAGTCTCTCAAGCAAGCAAATTGTTTATAAACTTATAACTTTATAAATAAGTTTATGCTAAATATACCTTTTCTAAAATAAAGATTTTTCAACGTACCTTCATGTTTTGCTTTGCTTTTAATGATACCATTTGATATCTTGTCGCGTTCACCTCGCGACCTCAATATTCTGTAAACTTGACTTGGTTCCTGAAATTATTCTGCGAGAAATTAAGCTCATAAAGATTTGGGGGATCTAAACAAATGTTTCAAATTCCTAGGTGGTTTTTTTTTCAAAAAGATATAAAGATCTCTGATCTTGTGCGGTCAACAGACGTTTAGGCTCATGTATTATAGTGCCGTGTCTATAACTATGTCTAGGCTCCTGTATAATGCCATGTTGCTTAAACCTTAATTTTTAACACTCGATGACTTTTGATTAGAACAAAAGAATCTAACATGAACAGCTACTTCTGCTGATGACATACCCGGTCACAATGCTAATTAACTTCATAAGACTCTCCTGATCATGACAAAAGACAGACGGCTCGGCAGCCCTCAAATCCAACTCATCACATCATCTCATGATCTGATCTGAGTGGGACGTGTTGGTCGCCCCCCCCCCCCCTCCTCGTGATGTGGCAAGTTTAAGCATCACTACTAATTATTGTTGGTGGACGCTAATTATTCAATATGCCCTGGTATGAGAATATAATGTGGACATTGAGTAACTTAAGCACAATTAAAACAAACTTTTTGTATGAACTCCGTTCTAGAAGATTAATAGTCGTAACTTTTTATTCGTCTTGACATCGTTCTAGCGGAGTGATAACTTTGTGCTTCTAACTCCATTCAGTAACATTGTGCGTTTGCTAAAGATTACGAGGGTCATTAAAAATATGTGACGCGGTCTTATCACTAACAGCTCTTTATAACTTCCTCGTTTAAATTTAAAGTTGATTTTTAGTCGCATTCTTATCATTCTTATCATTCCCTGCTACAATTCACGGCTTTGGAATGAGAGAAGAATCTCCGTCACTCGAACGACTAACGATTTTTTCATTTATTTAATTTTCTAAATATTTATTTAACGATTAACATAATGCAGGAAACCATAGAAATTTGCGGATGAAAAACGTTTTGGCACTGCTATAACTACAAAAAATTTGAAATTTAAAGCATTTGTTTAATGACCGTCTGAAAACTTTAAAAATTAGCTGCAAATGAGCAGATTACTCCGACTAGTGACGATCTTCACCAGAATTGTTGCTGCATCCGCTCTAATCTGCATGACACGTACTACTATACGCTTATGTAACCAGTTTAAGCATTGACTTTGACGTCGCCAAATAACGAGTAAAAATACCTCAGTTTTTAAACTATCTTCTACCTACGTAATGTTGAACATTGAACCGTCCCAATAATTTCCATGATTTTCGTTCGGAATTTGAACCTTCAGACTACAATAGCCCACGTGGGGATGGTGATTTGATTCCGTTAATCAAATTCCGTTAATAAGGTCAGACTGAAAAGTAAATAGTAAAAACCAAAATGAGAAAATAGTAGGACTACCCATTAAAACATACGTGGGACAGTCTCAAAAAATGGATGCTGGCTGATTCACCACCCCCACGTGGGCTATTTTCCCATATTCTATTAGGGTGCTATTTTAACAAGATTTGGAGGATAGGTCTGCCCATTGCTCCTTTATAATATCTGCCCCATTCAGCACTTTTATATCCTGACTCACACCTCATCAAGCTCCAGGCTAGCCCCTCCAGTCAGTCTTTTAGAAGCTCCTCCCGACCAATCACAGCGAGGCAGGGCCCCTTCCCACCAATGAAAACCCTCTATTTCCAGTCTATACCCCCGGGGATAGTGTTTACACACACGTGGTCTATTGACATGTTTGTATAGGCGGACTATTCAAGTACAGACAGGCTGAAGCTGAGTGAGCTGCCTGGATACCAGTGGTATGGTATTACCACCCTCCATCCCACCATTATCCACTTACCCTGTCAGCACAGTTATACTACCTATCAATAACACATTGAGAGAGAGGATTGCAGGGGGTGACTGAGATTCCATATTCTGACTGGGACTGTGTTCCGGCTACGCGGCCCCCTCCTCCGGCTACGCGGCCCCCTCCTCATATTAGTAACCCATCACACTGCTAATAGAGTGAGACTGCCCCTTTATTACTTGTCGCTAGTTAGATGGCTGGGGAGGCCCGACTCGATTACAAAGTCAACAGTTCAGACTTCATATAAAAACAGGATAATCTCCCTTCTTCCCTCACTTTTAGTCTGTTAATCGGGGATAAGTTTGTTAGGTTTTTTTTTGTGGAGCTGATTTTCTAAACTATTTGGTCCTGTTTGATCTGATGGTTAGATTTTCAGTTTCTCCCTGGGATTCACTGTATTTTCTGTGAGATATTTTCTGTTCTAAGACACATACCTTTCTAGAAATTTCTGGTCTCAACTCAGTGCATCATATTTCGGGTTAAATTTAAAAACGCTCCTAGTCCTCATGTTTGATATTAGAACCTGCTTTACTTAGTCTGTTTTGTTTAAAAATATCGGCGGTAAGAGCCCGAGTTGTTATTATATCTCACGTTATATCCTCTCCCTTGTTATTATATCTCACGTTATATCCTACAAATTCCTGGCGGAGCTGATGCATGAATACGGTGCTGTAAATTGCAACAAATGTGGGGCTGGCTGGCCCTCTCTCCCTCGTCTGCATTGTTCCCAATGTCCCTTTAATTCACGGGTCCGGGACAACTGTAATTAAATTTCTCTAGATTAGCGAACAATTGAAATTCGATTTATAACATCATAAGGTTGATGAAGGGGATTGTAACTATACAGTATAAGGGCCTACTACCAGCTGTCTGATTACAGTTCACCCCCTCATCACGTGTTTTGCCATGGTCACGTGCTCTGCTCGATGTCACGTGATTTATGGGGAGATCATTAGGCTCGACGAGGACTCCGTCCGGCGCACGGACCATTTAAAAATAGGATCCTCCGACATTTTGGAGACAGTAGGATCAGGTCGGCATTAGAGTTGTAGCCTCACTTCCATCGCTTGTCAATACCTGCTGGCAACCCTGACTCTGCGGGACTCTTATATCAGTTTTTATAGCAGAAGTAATGCGGAAGTGTCCTCCCTTTAACAGCTCTCCCTTTCTCTGTGTGAGAATGACGTGGCTTGACGCACTTAACATCTGAAGTCAGGTGAGACTGGGTGTCGGTGGATGTCGCACTCTTCCTACACACGAGAATGCTGACTACTAGGACGGAGCTATTGGAACCAGAGCATCAGTGCCCGGCTATCCCCCTCTGCACCTGTTAGGGACGGATGTTTGTCACTAGTGAGCCTGTCGAGGGAACCGGGGGGGGGGGCTGGGTCCCAAGACCTGGCTCGGCCGCGGGGGAGGGTATAATGCTGGGTTCCAGGAAGCGATGCTGGATCAGTCGTTGGTCCTGTGTCTTCTCCATCCACTCGCACCCTGCCCCGGACTAAACTAAATCAATTGATCACGGTGCAACCCATAATAAGCCATAGTAGTGCGTAATTAGATAATATTGACTGCTAGTATTCGTGCTGTTTGTAGTAAAAGTATACTGCCGGCGGCCGGAGAGTTCCCGCATTCTATTTGAAGTCTAGCACGCGCTGGGGTGTGAATTAATTGACCAGGTTAATTCTGTAATCCATTGCTTGGGGCCACGTGGGGACGATAACCGCCCACGTGGAGAGCGCACACCCGTCTCATTGGTCCTCGATCACTTTGTGAGATTCATATCTTGTCAGACCGAGGTTTAGATACGCCACTAAATGGAAAGTCTATTGTACTGTAACTTCCCGTCAGATTGGGTAGATTGCAAGGGACTCTGTCTGTTCAGGGGTACTTCAGGTCAGTCTTAACGAGCTAAACTTTGTTGAGTACCTATCTGTCTGAACCCTGAACACGTTTTACATGTAAAGATGACAGCATCTAATCGAAATGCGTCCCCTTGAGTGCCATTCTTATGTTCAGCTATAGCCTTGCTCCTCAAATAGACCTCAATCCAACTTTTAATTCTGATCCCATAGTCTGAGGAGCGATGATATCTAATCTTTTTTGTCTTCTCAAGGAGAGGGAGTCCCCTGGTGAGGGGTCGCTAACTGAGATTCGTCTCTCTTCCACCTGACACGCTAGAACTGGGAAGCTGACTCACCCTGCCCTCCCTGGATCAGACCCCCATTAGCATACCTCCCTTAGCTGGAGGCTCGAGACTGAGGGAGGTACCCTGGTAGGCGCTCTAACCCAGCCTCCGTTACCTGGGTTACCTAGGTTACCTGGGTTACCTAGCTCTGAGCACCCCGCTATATAACAGGTCAATTTGCCGGTCATAAGGTCATTCTGTCACATCGCTAAGTTTTGACGGTGTTTGCTAAACAGCAGCTGCCCGCTCTTTTGTTTGTTCTCGATGTCTGACACGAAATTCCAGTTTGATCCATCAACTCCCAACCATCTCTAAATTGGTGGGAGTTGTTTTGGTTACCTTGGTTACCGATCATGTTCACCGTGTCTGGTCCTGCAAGTCTATTGACGCACAATATTATTATCATTGCAGCTTAAACAGTTTTATTAACTTTCTGTTACCAGTTACCGTCGTTGTGATGTCAAGAGAATATCCCAAATTCAACCCTAACAACAATTTGAGTCTGGGAAACTTCCCGCTTCAATTAGATTGGGTGGTCCCGGATCTCACAAGCTCAAAATCCGTCAATTTCCTAATGACCTTTCTGTGATAGCACGTTCAAAGAGATGACCACCAGATACTGTAGTCAAGGGTTAAAAATACACCAGTGGTTTTTATTACCTCACCGATTATTCACTAAGCGATCCTAAAATGCCACGACTGTTTCTATTATTAACTTCTGAATGATTTCGCAATTTGCAGTCTGGTTATGAGCTATTAGCGAAAGTCTTTGATTCGCTCGAGCGACATCGCTTAGATTCCAGGACTTTTACGTAACGTAGCGCTGACGATAGATCCTACTATTGTGACGTAATAAATGACATGTTTTAAATAGCTGCGTCTCAGAAATATTTGCAATTAGTTAAATCTAGTTTCGCTTGTCTTAGGAAGAGTAAAGAATATGGAGTTTCAAGGACTGAACCTGATGAAGATATACCTGCTGACTTCTCTTCATTTCATCCTTACCTTACAAAATGGTATGTTCTAAACTCTCATTTTGTCATTATGTTCATTGTTTTATCGTCACAATATTTGTCATTTTTACTACCAATCAAGCCCCAATTACCAAATTTGTCGTATTTCCGTTTATCTGTCCCAATAATCGAATTCCCTCAATTTTGACATATTTCCCTAATCTGCGTCCATATGTCACCGCAAGTCACAACAATAAATTCCCTGCATACCGGCCCACTCACCATTGAGTTAGCAGACCCTCGAACTCCATCAGATCTCAACTCTAATTCTCGAGAGGAGCAGGAAGTTTGTTTCCCAAAGAAGGGGAATGATGCACATGTTACCATGGTTACTGAGCTAGAAGCACCTGTTAACAGGGGGATGATGTTATGTTTGTTTGTTGTTCTGTCTGTTTGTTCACCTTCCTTTGTTCTCAGATTGCACGAACACAGAGTACACGGAGGTAGCGAGTAAGCAGTGTTCCAGATACCAGGTTAAGATTAATGGGGTCTGCAAGGACCCGCTCTGTAAGAAGGGCTACTTCCTCAAAGACAACTACTGTCACAGTAAGTTAATATATTACATTTGTCTGTTTACTTGTTTAAGAGGCTAAATATGTTCATATCATCAATTAACTAATTAACTGTTTCGCTAAAACAGAAACTTATTTTTATAGAAAACAAAAGAAATTTATTGAAACTAAGATTAGATATGAAATCCAAAACTTATGACAAATTGAAAACGTAAAAAACATTACATCAAAAATTCCATCGTCGTTGTACGTATATTTGTATAGGCTTCTAAGTGTTACAATAGCATAGTAACAATGCATTTGTTGCTACATATTCTCCGCCACATACTATACGCTATAACATTAACTGATCATTCTCCCGCGCGTAACTACTAGTTACCATAGTTACACTACTAGTTACCATAGTTACTGTTTCAGGATGCCACTTCTCCTGCAAGAGCTGTATTGCGTATGACGTGTGCGACTCCTGCGCGGGGACCCGGTCTCTGCACGGCGGCACGTGCCATTCCAAGTGCCCTAGGAAACACCGGTCAACATACTCTGACAGCACACTTGGAATTAAGATCTGCACTAAAAGGAAGCACCTTCAAGGTTTGTTTTTCTTTCATTTTTTAAAGATAACTACCTAGTTTATTTTTTTACTACTTAAGATTGGCAGTTGTTGTAAAAGTTAGCTCTCACAGTATTATAACACAGTAGGTACAGGTGTAAAGGTCATCTTCTCATCAAAATCTTGAAACATTTCATTCTTTCAGTAGTCCCAATTATCGTCCAACTCAACGAAGTTTAATAATCTACGGATATTTATAGTACTTTTAGATTTTAGATTTCAATTTTCAAACATTGTGAGATTACTTAGGCACTAAAATTGTTATTCCTTGGAAAATTTTGTATTTTTTGAAGGCCGTTAAGGCATTTGACCCAGTCAAAAAAGTTTCAGTTTTATATCTTTTACGGTTTTTGCGGAACGTCGTGTTAAAGTTGATGCCGTGGTGTCGGTAAAATGGTACGGATATATATATATACATATATGCCTATATATATCGTATCGCTTTATGTATAGTTAGATTCTCAGATATTATCCCAGGCGTGTTCAATTATTCAAAGATCATGTAAAGATATAAATACTTGAATTTGTTTATAAATTAAATGCGAACGTGTTGCATAATTATGGTCAATAATGATTTAGTTCTATTATCGATCTAGATATCCGCAATAAGTAATCCCCGGAAATTAGTTTGGAAATATATTTCCTGTGGTTGGTAGCCTGTTAGTGCCCAGTATTACCATCCCAAAGACTCTGAAAGTATGTCAGAGGAGCTCGAATTGAGGAGATTAGAATATTTTCCTATTGAAGCTGGGTAAAAGTAATGCTGAGCTGATCGTATAGTCAAGAGTTGATCAAAAAAAACATCAAACAGTCTCCATTTGTCATTTGATGGCTGCTCCCCTCAATTACCATCTCCCCGGACGTGTCTACTCCGCACAACTGTACAACTACCCGAACTTGTCTCGGTCCCTTCAAAAGTTTCCTCTTTTCCTCCTGGTCTCCTTCTTTCTCCGTCCCGGTCCCTTCCCGGTCCCTCTCCCCCGGTCCCTCCTGGTATGAAAGAAGGAGCCGGCATCATCATCCGGCACCCGACTGTTTTTATCGTTGCAGCTAATGTTCACAGTCCTCTATTTGGCTCATCCCGTGACTTACAAGCCTGCAACCTTTTACTAACAGTACCAGGACTAGGCCTGGGAGACATGACGCACTGCACTTATTGTGATGATGTAGTTATTATCATCTCCCTCCTTCAACCCTCTCTTTTTGTCCTTCTCTTCTCCCTTGATCATGTGACCATGATCATGTAACCCTTTTAACCAGGGGGGCTACGTGCCCTTTTAACGTGAGTGAAATACTGCAACTCTGTCTCTTAGCTCTCACAACCGAGCTTTTTATCTCAAACTTTTCATGTTTACGGTATGGAGCCAGGGTGTGGCTACACATGGTTAAAACATTTCATTCTCATTACATTATACTGATGTATTCTGGGTAAAATTATCTTTATCCCGGTTGTTGCGACAAGTAAAAATGCTCTTATTAGGGAAAGGAGATTACTCGATGTTTCAATGTAACTACATCGTATTCATGATCTCAAATTATTTGTTATATAGTAGTGTTGAAAGTATTAAAAAGTTGAAAGTATTAAAAAGTAGTTACATTGAAACATCGAGTAATCTCCTTTCCCTAATAAGAGCATTTTTACTTGTCGCAACAACCGGGATAAAGATAATTTTACCCAGAATACATTACAACAATGCGACTCATAAATAATACTCCAATCCGGATTTTACACATTATACTGAGATACAATAAATTATGCAATCATAAGATTATACTCAATAAAATATATTTAATCACAGAATCTTAGATATTTACTAGTGCGCTCATCTCTGTGGAGATATTCTCTCATCATATCTTATATTAGTGTTATAGTGTAGCAGGAGTACCTCCTCCTCCTCCTCCTCCTCCTCCTCCTTCTTCTTTCATCTCCCTTAGTGTGGATATATTCTCTCATCCCTGTTTATATATCAGAGATATTGCCTCATTCCCTCTAAGTATTAAGATAGTGACGTAATATTTGATAACATGTAATAATCGTTATTATCCTATATCAACCTAGATTCCTCAAGATTCCACAAAATGACACCCGCGGTACAAGGAATATCTGCTTTTCAGAACTAAGGTTCCGCATCTCGGAGTTTGTCGTTGTACAGGTCCTGTTATTTCCGTGTCTGAACTAACAGGACCTGAAGGATGAATTACTATTCATAGGATGACGCGACTCCAGGTGGGGAGGGAATACACAACGCACTTGTAGACAATGCTTCATTTGTGTACTCGAGCTTTATTGGATTAAGTTGTATAGCCAGGGGAGCTCCAAATTCCCTTGTAAATAATCAATTATATGGTGTCTCGCCAGTCCAATCATGAGATGCAGTAATGGAAATAATATCCTATTAAAGCAGCCCTCCACTAATCAGGTATGTGACATAGCACAAATTGTAATATCTCGACTCTCCGGTCCTAAGTATGATTTGTGTTGTAAATGGAGGAATTTTATGCAGTAGCGTATGGTATCGTGGTTTGGAAAATATGGTTTAGCTCATTGAAAGTCTGTTCTGCATACCAAGGAATTTAGATGGAAGTTAGAACGCTGGTTCCGAGCCAAAAAGTGAGCGGTCTGTAACGATTTGTAACGGTCTATGATGGTCTGTAATCTACTTACTTATTTAGAAGTGGCAGCACTACTCAGAAGTTAGAAGTGGCCGTATATGCAGTAGCAGCACTGCTGTTTTTACGGATATTTCGCAGTGAGGGTAACACTGGAAGGGTTTGTAAGATATTACAAAGGAGTAAGCCCTACTTGTTCCGCCTAATTATATCTTTACTTTACAGTTCCGGCTAATTACGTCCACCCACCAATTTACACTATAATATTCAATATTCCTGTCTTCTCCTCCCTTTGTCCTCCTCCCTTTGACTAGCAGTCTCTTGTTTTCTCTCTTGTTCTCTTCCTCAGAACGATGTACTCGTAATCTGTAAATAATATTAAATTGCAACGATATTTACGCTAAGTAGACTTTTCGAGGAAGCCTTGGTCTGAGAATTTACAGGATTCTTTTTATCTCGTAATGGGATAGACTTGCAATGAAAATTATGGTAGTAGGGACTGATAGAGACTATAAATAAAGTTAGTGATGTTTACGTAACTATTAGTCACTGTTAGTTTCGAATTCCAGTACACATTTAACTTCTACAATAATTAGTGTATAAATTTTGCCGCCCATCAAAGATATCCATATCGCACAGACAAGGAGCTCGTTTTTCACCGAAGATGACGTCGTACAAATAAAAGTAACTAAGCACTTAAGTTAAGTGTTTTTAGAGAATTTACTCTCGTTAAGTGACTTAACGAGAGTAAATTCTCTAAAAACACTCGAGATATTCAATTATTGTCCTTGACATGACGCTGTATCAACAAATCAAACAATTAATTAAATATTAATTAAATAATCTGCATTCTCTTGCAGTTAGTACCCCCCGAGCGTGAATCTCATGACAAACAGATTATTGTCCGGCTATTTCCAAGCATCTTGTTTTAACTTTGAACTGACAGTTTATAGTAATATAAGATGCCTTAATTAAGCTAGAAGATTTAATAAAGTTTCGTCATACTCGGTGCGGCTAATGGTAATAAACAATCGCCCAAAATTTAACAAATTGTATTAATACTCAGTGAGCACTCTCTCGTTAGTACTCTGCTATTTCCGATCAAAGTCAGAAGTATAATCTAACTAGCATCACAAGCCTGCCTGTCCCTGACGGACGCGGTATATTATTGTATTATGGGTTATTTATATATTATTATGATGAGCGTTAGCTGACGTTGAGTATGAAATCGTTAAGTCGGTTATGATGGTGTTAAGCCGAAGTAGTCCCAAGATAATCCAGTGTAGAATGTTAAGATTGATGGTGAAAACTTAAAAATGACATTATATATAAATTTTGACATAACAGTTTCTAAAAATATAATTTCTATCTACCTCATCCACTCATTGCTCAAATATCAGTTCCTGTTGACCTCTATTTGTCACGTGACCAGCTCTATATTCCAGATACCAGATGTGAGGTGGGAGAGTGGGACCAGTGGACAGAGTGCGGGAGAATTGGTGGACCTAATGTCAGAACCAGGACCAGGACAGTTGGAAAGGGACCTTCTTGTGTTGGCATCGCGCCAATTCAGCACAGACATTGTCTTTCTCTAGGATTTGGTAAGTTTTGAGCTGAAGTTTTTATGATAATATGTTTACTAATACTCTAGTCTCTAATTATACTACGTGATTGCAATGTTCTGTGAAACACGGACAATTTTATTTTGTTATTTTCGCTTTTCAAACTTCGTTCAGTTACAGCTTCTGAAAGCTGATGAATCTCATTATGGATAATTAATAAACACGAGTTACCCTAATACTGTAACACACTGCAACACACTGTAACACACTGTAACACACTGTAACACACTGCTACACACTGCAACACACTGCAACACACTGTTACACACTGTTACACACTGTAATACACTGCAACATACTGTAACACACTGCAACACACTGCAACACACTGTAACACACTGTAACACACTGTGACACACTGTAACACACTGTAACACACTGTAACACACTGTAACACACTGCAACACATTGTAACACACTGTAAAACACACTGTAAAACACACTGTAACACACTGTAACACACTGTAACACACTGTAACACACTGTAACACACTGCAACACACTGTAACACACTGTAACACACTGTAACACACTGTAACACACTGCAACACACTGTAACACACTGTAACACCTACAGCGAGTGACTTAGCAGCGTGCGTTGTATCAGAGTGGTTACCATGGGAACAATGCGACTCGTCCTGTGAGAACAAGTTCAGGAGAAGGCGGAGGATCCTGGAGACTCCACCTGATGGAATGAGGAAGAAGAGAGCTCTGTGTCCGAACCTTGTGGAGGAGGAACCCTGCCCTTGTTACTTTCAGAACCAGGCATCTGTCAACGGTAAGTTGTGGTAGTTAATTAATTGATGAATTATCTAATTATTGATTAGTGGTAATTTATTAATTGATTAATTAATTAGTGAGTATTGTTCTCATCTTTATTACATTTAATTTACTTTCTTCTCTCAATTCTAGAGCCAAGTCTAAGAACTATATCATTTATTACCAACAAATGATTTATTATTAATAATGCTCAAGTTATACTAAATACCTGTAACATGTTGATTGTTACAGAGTTGAGTCAGTGTGAGATGGGGGAGTGTTATACTAAATACCTGTAACATGTTGATTGTTACAGAGTTGAGTCAGTGTGAGATGGGGGAGTGTTATATTAAATACCTGTAACATGTTGATTGTTACAGAGTTGAGTCAGTGTGAGATGGGGGAGTGTTATATTAAATACCTGATTGTTACAGAGTTGAGTCAGTGTGAGATGGGGGAGTGTTATATTAAATAACACGTTGATTGTTACAGAGTTGAGTCAGTGTGAGATGGGGGAGTGTTATATTAAATAACACGTTGATTGTTACAGAGTTGAGTCAGTGTGAGATGGGGGAGTGTTATATTAAATACCTGATTGTTACAGAGTTGAGTCAGTGTGAGATGGGGGAGTGTTATACTAAATACCTGTAACATGTTGATTGTTACAGAGTTGAGTCAGTGTGAGATGGGGGAGTGTTATATTAAATACCTGTAACATGTTGATTGTTACAGAGTTGAGTCAGTGTGAGATGGGGGAGTGTTATATTAAATACCTGATTGTTACAGAGTTGAGTCAGTGTGAGATGGGGGAGTGTTATACTAAATACCTGTAACATGTTGATTGTTACAGAGTTGAGTCAGTGTGAGATGGGGGAGTGTTATATTAAATACCTGTAACATGTTGATTGTTACAGAGTTGAGTCAGTGTGAGATGGGGGAGTGTTATATTAAATACCTGATTGTTACAGAGTTGAGTCAGTGTGAGATGGGGGAGTGTTATACTAAATACCTGTAACATGTTGATTGTTACAGAGTTGAGTCAGTGTGAGATGGGGGAGTGTTATACTAAATACCTGTAACATGTTGATTGTTACAGAGTTGAGTCAGTGTGAGATGGGGGAGTGTTATATTAAATACCTGATTGTTACAGAGTTGAGTCAGTGTGAGATATGGGAGTGTTAGATTAAATACCTGTAACATGTTGATTGTTACAGAGTTGAGTCAGTGTGAGATGGGGGAGTGTTATATTAAATACCTGTAACATGTTGATTGTTACAGAGTTGAGTCAGTGTGAGATGGGGGAGTGTTATATTAAATACCTGATTGTTACAGAGTTGAGTCAGTGTGAGATGGGGGAGTGTTATACTAAATACCTGTAACATGTTGATTGTTACAGAGTTGAGTCAGTGTGAGATGGGGGAGTGTTATATTAAATACCTGTAACATGTTGATTGTTACAGAGTTGAGTCAGTGTGAGATGGGGGAGTGTTATATTAAATACCTGTAACATGTTGATTGTTACAGAGTTGAGTCAGTGTGAGATGGGGGAGTGTTATATTAAATACCTGATTGTTACAGAGTTGAGTCAGTGTGAGATGGGGGAGTGTTATACTAAATACCTGTAACATGTTGATTGTTACAGAGTTGAGTCAGTGTGAGATGGGGGAGTGTTATATTAAATACCTGATTGTTACAGAGTTGAGTCAGTGTGAGATGGGGGAGTGTTATATTAAATACCTGTAACACGTTGATTGTTACAGAGTTGGGTCAGTGTGAGATGGGAGAGTGGACACCCTGGTCAGACTGTGACGCACCCTGTAACCAGGGGACCATGAAGAGGACCAAGTCACCGGAGGGTCCTCAGTACTCACCAGGCTGCAGAACCTTCACTGAGACCAGACCCTGTTGTCAGCAGACATGTCAAGGTACTGAACCTTTTTAGTGTTTTGTAGCGTTATTGTAGCGTTTTTGTAGCGTTTTGTAGTGTTTTTGTAGTGATTTGTAGCGTTTTGTAGCGTTATTGTAGCGTTTTTGTAGCGTTTTGTAGTGTTTTTGTAGTGTTTTGTAGCGTTTTGTAGTGTTTTGTAGTGTTTTTAGTGTCTTTGAAATGACTTAGTGTATTCTGTGTAAAATTATCTTTATCCCGGTTGTTGCGACAAGTGAAAATGCTCTTATTAGGGAAAGGAGTTTACTCGACGTTTCAATGTAACTACATCGTATTCATGATCTCAAATTATTTGTTATATAGTAGTGTTGAAAGTATTAAAACCGGGATAAAGATAATTTTACACAGAATACATTACAACAATGCGACTCATAAATAATACTCCAATCCGGATTTTACAAATGACTTAGTGGTATGTTTCAAATGTGTGTGTTTCAGATTACTGTTCGGGAACACTACTAGGAGACTGGTCTAGCTGGGGGAAGTGTGAGGGCACCTGTGAGCACAGTACTCGCCGCAGAGTCAGGAGCAATCTCTTCCCTTCCGTTCTCATGTTCTGCGAGCTACACCAGCTCTACATGGAGATACCCTGTAAAAAGAGGGGCTGCAAAGGTTAGCTTTATCTGTTGTTAGTTTTATCACACTGTTGTTAGTTTTATCACACTGTTGTTAGTTTTATCACACTGTTGTTAGTTTTATCTGTTGTTAGTTTTATCTGTTGTTAGTTTTATCACACTGTTGTTAGTTTTTATCACACTGTTGTTAGTTTTATCACACTGTTGTTAGTTTTATCACACTGTTGTTAGTTTTTATCGCACTGTTGTTAGTTTTATCTGTCGTTAGTTTTACCTGTTGTTAGTTTTATCACATTGTTGTTAGTTTTATCTGTCGTTAGTTTTACCTGTTGTTAGTTTTATCACATTGTTGTTAGTTTTATCACACTGTTGTTAGTTTTATCACACTGTTGTTAGTTTTATCACACTGTTGTTAGTTTTATCACACTGTTGTTAGTTTTATCACACTGTTGTTAGTTTTATCTGTTGTTAGTTTTATCTGTTGTTAGTTTTATCACACTGTTGTTAGTTTTTATCGCACTGTTGTTAGTTTTATCTGTCGTTAGTTTTACCTGTTGTTAGTTTTATCACATTGTTGTTAGTTTTATTTGTCGTTAGTTTTACCTGTTGTTAGTTTTATCACATTGTTGTTAGTTTTATCACACTGTTGTTAGTTTTATCACACTGTTGTTAGTTTTATCACACTGTTGTTAGTTTTATCACATTGTTGTTAGTTTTATCACACTGTTGTTAGTTTTATCACAATGTTGTTAGTTTTATCACACTGTTGTTAGTTTTATCACACTGTTGTTAGTTTTGTCAGATTCTGCTGTTGCAGGGTAATACAATAGCACAAAAGTCGTGATTAGAATCAGAATACATTGTGGCCGGTTTTGGTTGTGTCATATTTGAACACATAATTTGTGTAGGATTGTGTCTTATTAAGTCCAGTTTTGTGTCTTATTAAGTTCAGTATTGTGTCTTATTAATTTATTATACTCAACAATTGTCTCCCTCAGACCAATGCGTGTTAAGTGAGTGGGGAGATTGGTCTGCTTGTGATAACAACATAAAGTCCAGACACAGACAAATGCTATCCGGAAACAAATGCCCGAGTCCGGAACTCATGGACTCCATTCCTTGCAGCTGAGGAGGTCCCATCTCCAGACTCCTGGATTAGACGTGCTAGTTGGAACTCTAGTGCTGCAACATCACAACAACAACACTATCCCAGGGACCTCAATCCTGAAAATACTCTCCGTTCTTCTTAGAGAATAGTCAGATGAAAAAGAATTGCTAATGTTTGATGGTCAACATTTTGTGAAGTATTTAAGAGAAATGAGAACAATTCTAAACTAATTCACTTGCCTAATTCTGGTCTTCTGTTGAGTATTGATTTACCACGGCGCTACCAGGGTTACAGTTACCAGGGTTACAGTTACCAGGGTTACACCACGGCGCTTCAAATTAAAAAACTTAGTCTAAAGCAGTTTAGCGAGTGATTTAGTCGAGATAGACTTGAAATGTTTAACGATCGAACTGGTTCGGACTTACGTTCTACTGAAAGACTCAAAAGATAGTCATAGCGTAGTAATTAATGTCTAAAGTTTTATTAGAGTATTGTATAGTTAATGAAAACTAGATTTATGTGCGTTTTAGTACAAAGTTTTCACTCCATTCGCCATTATTTTGTAACATCAAAACATGTGGCGAAAATTATATTATTTATAAATTTCCGTTTTTCCGACATAATTAATGATTGTGACACATTATTTTTGTAGAATGCAACTTCTTATCGTAATAATATTGATGCAATTTCTAAGTTTTTCCTTAAAAAGGCTGGCCATTCCACATTTGAAAGCTCACACATAGGCAGAAAATACTGTCTCATGAATTGTTGTTTAGAATTTCAAATTACAAATGCTGACAAGAGTCACAAAATTCAGAGTGACTGGCGCGCACCATGTGTAAAAGTACAGCAGATCCGGCACTGGAATACCGTCTTGTTTTGTCCAATTACTCAATACTTATGGGTTTAATTTAATTACATTTATATATCGATGTTCTGATTTATGTACATTAGATAATTTTTACATGCTAGTATTGAGATATAATCTAGATCCCTAATTTTTCTTTACAATGTTGCTAAAGAACATCATTGCCTCACAGCTCGTCTTGGTAATAGAGTGCTGAGTAGATTTCTAATATTTGATTTCATTGTTTACATTTCAATGTAAAACTTATGACAGAGTTTTATTTACAATTCCAAACCATCATCTATATCAGCAGCTGGTGACCTGGCAATCGTTTATAAACTTTAAATAATTGGGCCGGGGAGTCTCCATTAAATTTAATGATTAAAATTCTCTCGGAATTGACTATATAGCTTGTTTATAATTATCGCTGGCCTAAGGTCAGCGCTTATTTGTAACTCTAACTGTAATTGTATTGCGCGAGCGATTTTGAATCGAGCGTCTTGAAAATCGAGTGTATAAATCTATCTTCTCTATTTTAAGCAATCACCCTCAAAAGCTTCCAGGATCTGGATATGTTTTGTCATACGTTGTATTGACATTGTGTGTATGACCCGCCGCGCACGAGTGCGCGGCTCCCCTGTATCGTAGAAACTCTACAGTCTACTATAGTGAAACGACCGTGGGGTCACGACGTGATACAAAATACCCAGCAAACCCTACCGGCTGGGGTTTATCTCCAAAAGTAAAATAAATAAAACCTTCCGGTTTTCAACAAAATTTTCGTCTCTTAAATCTAAAGTTAGTTTCCCAGGATAGGATCAGCAAAATTTGGAACAACTTAAATTTTGAATTAGACCAAAAAGTTTGATTTTGGGCCAAAATGAATGTGGTTGTCATGACAACTAAGCTAAATACAGCGTACGAAAAGTGAACTTGACGTGACGTGCAAGGACAAATCACAGGAGGAGCAAAGTGCAAAGAAACTGCCACAAACTGCTTCTTAACGGTTGACCAGTGTAAATGATCTGACCCGGCGCGCGCTACTTTTCGAGAAGAAAGCGGCGCGCGCTACTTCGAAGAAATTTAGACGAGTAACATCCGTCAACTTAACGGGTGATATTCGTAAAATATTTGTTCCATATATTAGGACCGTCGACGAGTCCAACTCAGCGCGTGCGCGTGTCCTAGTAGGTTGCTACAAACTGCTAGTGCTACTAACTGCTACAAATTGGCACTAACTGGCACAAACTGCTACTAACTGCTGCAATCGCGCTGTTGAAAATTGATCACTTCTAGCGAGCCCGGCGCGGCAGGCAGTAAGGTTTTTTTGGGTATGTTCTAGTTACCATTTAGAAAAGATCGCTGAGCTACAACATTTTATGTAGCATGTAGGTTTTTAAGAAACATGAACGCCGAAATTGGACAAAAATGTGATTTTGAGTCGGCTTAGCCTTATATTTGCTTTAACCAAAACAATTTGGTTGTGGCTTGCAGTTAAGCTAATCCTGTGCCACCAAATGGCGGCACAGGATTTTACTTGTGAAACAAGCGCGCGTCACGCAGGAAGCTTCGGCGTATACTTATATATACTCAAAGAAACTGCCACAACTTGCTAATAACTGCTGCAATCGCGCCCACGCATGTCTTTACTGCACAACGCACGCCGCGCGCAACTGCTACAAACTGCTACAAACTGGCACTGACTGCTACAAACTGGCACTGACTGCTACAAACTGCTACTTAATTGACGATGTCAATTCATGGCAGCTCGGCGCGGCACAGTAGCGCATCTCGCCGATCTAGCGCATCTCGCCGATGTCGCTGTGAGAAGCCTTATTAAGTGCGCGGCGCGGCACAGTAACGCATCGCGCTACAAACTGCTACTAACTGCTGCAAACGGCGCGCGAATGCGTGGGCGCGATTGCAGCAGTTAGTGCTAGTTTGTGGCAGTTAGTGCTAGTTTGTAGCAGTTTGTGGCAGTTAGTGGCAGTTTGTAGCAGTTTGTAGCAGTTTCTAGCAGTTTGTAGCAGTTAGTGGCAGTTTCTTTGCACTTTGCTCCTCCTGTGAGCCTGGGGTCCCTAGGTAATACAATTACAATGTGCATTGTGCAATGGACAATGTATTAAGTATTATATACGTCTTTTCGCGCATTCTAACTACATGAGGTTATCGAATATTATTTAAAAAAGTAGGCCCAGGATCGAGGACGCTGTCGAGTTGAGCGCCGCGCGCATCCAGCACTGTTATGCTTGCATCGCTGACTTCGCTGAATTTGCTTACTGCGCTATTAAAATTAATTCGCTTACTTTGCGCGCTGATCGAGATCATGCTCTTTACATTGTACATTTATCAATGTAAAAAGCATATTAATAGTAGTAATAGAATTTGGATCATTTTCCTCAACCCAGCAAACCTTAGTGACTGGGCGTAATTACTAGCTAAAGGTGACCACGTCTTCACAGCGAGTTTATGCTCGCTCCCGCACTTATATTTATTTCACAGGGGAAGCTGAAACCAGGTCTTCGATCAAACGCTGCCATTTGTATTAGGGGTTTTGTTTATAGTTGTTACTATAGGTTGCAGTCTTGTTATGACAAAAAATCTACACTAAAACATACTTTAGTTTATATTGTGTAGTTCAAGGATATAAAATGCAGCTTCAAGATAGATATTGGAGAGCTGGCGAAAGATTATGGCCTTTGTATCAATGGTTATAATAAGCTATAAATATCTTAAACTATACAGTGTTAATTAAAAATTTCGTTATACTTCATTCTCAAATTAAATTTTAAAAATTCAAAAATATGCATTCATTTTATTCAAACTTTCTCACACATAGTTTACTCATTGCTCTAACCAGAGCCCTCCTGCTTGCTACTACTTGTGAAACAAGCGCCTCACGCAGTACGCATATACACATGGCTATGTGAAGTTTACTCACAGGACAAGACTTAGAGAAGATGCGCAGAGCGACCCAGCAGTGCATCGCGCTACAAACAGTTCGGGAACGTGTACCTCGCCACCTGCGGACATGTAAAAATGTTTCAACCGGCAGGTGTATGTAAATATACTACTGAGGTAAAGATTGGTGTAGACAAGTGAAACTCGAGGGTAAACTATGGAAATGATAGAAGGATGATTCAATGAAACAATAGGTCTATTGTTTCATTGTAATGCCTTTGGGTAGTGTCCTCAATCAATCAATCAATCATTGAATAGGCTGTCACTCTATTAATGCACCACACCGCTGCCTCCACTCCTAATAGTTATACAATAAATTCTAAATTGCTAATATGATTATGAATTATGATATTATAAACAATTTAGTTGTTTTGCAAGTGCGAGATTAATTTTGACAAGCGTGTTAATGTAAGTAACTTATCGATGATTTTGACTCAAAGTGGGTATCAAAAGGAAGAAAAGCTTTTTGAAACCACAACAAGTTTAGAATAAACTTGAGCATGCCCCTATATTTACCTTCACTTCAGTAGAGACCCCTCGCAGTACAGAGCCTCAGAAACATGTCCGCTATTATGATTACTCAAGTTCCAAATTGAAAAGCTTTGTAACTGAACTTGAGGTAAAGGTAAACCAGCTCACTCCTTCAACAACATTTGATGAGTTTACGGCATGTTTTGACCAGACACTTGACAAACACTGCAAACTGGAGGTACCGAAAGTGACAAAAAGAACTCCCAAACTTAACCCATGGATTACAGACAGTATCATCCAGTCTGTAGAAAGAAAGCATGAACTACGTAAGGAGTGGTCTGACACCGTTACCAACAAGAACCCTGGTGGTAATATCTTGCTATACCAAGTATTTAGTGATTATCGTAGGATGCTCAAAGCTATCATTAAAGCTGCCAAACGTTGGCATTACTGTAACGAAATTCTAAACAACTGTGAAAACAGCAAGAAAACCTGGCAAATTATTAACGAACTCAGAGGCAAAAAGAAGAGGCAAACCAAGCCCCCATTTATCATTGATAACCAAAGAATAGTTGATAGAAGAGCAATTGCTAATGGATTCAATGCTTGGTTTGTCTCTATTGCACCAAAGCTGAATGAGACACTGAATAATCTATCTAATGGCCTGCCTATATTACCCATGAAAACTTTCTATGACTTCCTGAACCCAAGAAATGAAAAAAATATTAGGTTAGAAGATTGCTCCTCGAACGAAATATTGAAAATCATAAGAGAGTTCGAAAATGGTAAAGCCAGTGACATTCCCATAAGTGTACTAAAAAAGTCATCTCATGTAATTGCACCTGTATTATCAAACTACTTCAATATCCTTATGACCCAAGGTATATTTCCTGATGTCCTGAAAACTGGTAAAATAACACCTGTATATAAGAAAGGTAACCCAGAAGAAATCGAGAACTACCGTCCTATCTCCACACTGTCCGTCTTCGGTAAGATCTTTGAAAAGCTCATATATTCTAGAATATACGGATTTGTTAGCTCCCAGGGAGTTATATCGAAGACACAGTTTGGATTTAGGAAATCTCACTCTACATCTCATGCAGTCAATTACTCTGTAGATTTAATTACGAAATCTCTTAAACTTAAGAATCATGTTTTAGGAATATTCATTGACCTTAGCAAAGCTTTTGACACCATCGATCATTCAACACTTCTTATAAAATTAGAGGGATGTGGAGTGAGAGGAGTTGCAAATTTGTTGTTTGGGGACCGGTTTTTGGTACACCGGCCAATGTTTACAAAATCATATGATACATAACAATATAATTGTATTTAATATACGTGAATATTAGAATAGAAATGAAATCTTAAATTTCTATTTTTCCCCTGAAATTGTTACTAAGTTCAAAATAAATTTATATGACGAAGTCTACTATAAGAATATATATGAAAGTCAGACCTGCTTCGCGAAAACTAACAGTTCTGTGTGCTAACAGATCCTGACTGATACTCATTTACACTAACTAACTAAGTAACTAATACTCTTAACTATCTAAAAACCAACTAGCTAGCGTGTGTGCTCGTAGAGCAGCTTAAATAATAAAATATGAGCCACAGTTCATGCTGCCTAAATCTCCTCACAAAATACTGCATCGTAAAAAAAACTCGTTAAAAACGGTTTATAGAATACAACGGCCACCACTTAAACCAAATTAAAATACATACTATGTAAAAACTACACTGTATCACCACGTAGATAACGAAAGTGAACATAACATATTAAAGTTCATAAGTTCTGATAACAAGTCAGTGTACTTGTAGATAAGGCTCTAGCT